ATGGCGACGCGGGCAGCGCCAAAACAAGTCTCTTTAGGGTCTGTTCACGAAACACGAAACCTCGGAACCAATTTGACCGGGGAAGACTTGGAACTGAGACAGTCAACCTACGAGTGATCCGCCTGAGGCGTCATCGCACAAAACCCTAAATGACGTTCAAAAAATTGGGAAAAAATAGTTTGGTCCGAGGTCCGTGAAAACGGCAGATTCTTTCGTCGAGAGAGACAAACAGACAGACAGACAGACAGAAAGACAGCGCGGAAGCTTACAGCGTGCTGGACGCGACAGGACGTCAGCGTTTCGAGTTTGAAGGGTGTGTCCCTGCAATCTGTCCCGCCTGTCCCGCCCCATTAAGACTGTCTGTCACTTGCTCCTGCTTGCCCGCTGCGCCACTCGTGCAGCGCCTTCTTGCGAAGCGCAGGCACGCGCCGCCATGGCGCCGCCCTCTCATTGCATCGGACTGGTCGCGGCAAACGACGCGCGAGATGGGGCGCGTGTTTGTCGTGGTGGCGTCCGACTGCCCGACGACACGCCGCGGCGCCGCGGCGGTCCAAGCTCAGCCGAGCTCGAATAATGGCGAAATATTTGTCAGGGAAATGTCGACGAAGGACGGCGGCCGGGGCGAGATTGTGGCCCCAATGAATCCCCTTCGCGACGTGGCAACAGGGCGCCGAGGGGGGCGTGTCTTTGAGCCGAATGCGTCTTGGCACGCGCGTGTCGCCTCCCGTGTCGCCGGGGTGTGGGCCCCACACTGTGGGGGCCAGCGACCCAGCGGACCCGTTCAGAGAGCGGCGGTAGACCGGGGGCGTCGAAGCACCCTCTCAGCAGATGATACACTACACATACTCAAAAACGAAACAGAAATATTAGTTGTCCATAGTCATGAGTCTAGCTTATTTCCATTACGTCATTCAAATTCTTTTGAACTCGGCAGAACATACATTCAAGGACTTTTTTTTTTTTTTTGGGGGGGGGGGGGTACTGTGGACCACCTCTGGGCAAAGTCCGAGATTTCTGTACCTCAGCACTCAGTCCGCTTGGCTCTGACGTGGCTCCGTGGCTCTGCCCGGGATGTCCGGGCCAGGTGTCACGGGTAGTGCTGCGTCGGCCCAGGCTGGGCGCGGCTGGGCGCCGGTCCAACGAAGGGGGCGGGTCCCCGTCGCCGTCAGGCCGCGACCCACCGGCCCGATCACGCTAGCGACGCTCGCGACCTGGACCGCGAGCAAAACCTCGCATCACCCTCCACCTTGTAAACGTAGTTAATTTGAACAGCATCGAATTGTTTGTTATGAACTCTATCTCAGTTTTCTCTGTTCTGGTGGAATTATAGTACCAGTACCGTGAGAGATTCATTCGGCTCGATGCAATGCAGGCGAGAGTGTGGCGCCAGTGGCTAAAGCGCCGCGGCAGGACTTGGCCTGCTGAGCGAAAGTGAATGTGAACGCGAATCTGCACGTTTGTCCTACATGGGAACTGGGCTGTTGGGCTGGCGGCGGCTTGCTAACCGGTGCAACCTTCGCCTTCACCGCGGCGTCTGCCAAGTCGGGCCGCGTGTGCCCCGCCCCGCCCCGCCCCGCCCCGCCCCGCCACACAGGCCGAGTTCATCCTCGGCCCCGCGGTGCCCGCGGTGCTTGACGACATGGTGCCTGCGTCACGGCGGGGCGGGCTCTGACTGGCCGCGGCGGTTGCCTACCTCCGCGCCACCGTTCGCCACCACCGGCACGCAACGCCGCGCTCGGCCCGGCTCGGCCGCCGAGACATGAGCCGGGCACGGCAAGGCACTGCAAAGGCGGCCACGCCATGAGCCGCGTGGACAGAGGAAGCAGTAAAAGCCCAAAGCAGCCGATCCGGCGGGGTCTGGCTCGGCCTGGCTCGGGCTATTCTCGAGCCCGGTCCTCCTCGTCCTCATGGCATGCCATACCTAATGATTAGACCAGCCTCACGGCCCGCGGCGCGGCGTGGCGTGACGTGGCCCATGGCGTCGGTTCGGGAGCATGCCACTGGATTGATATGACCTCCCGACCTGTGCGACATGCCAAGCCCATGCCAAGCCCATGCCCAGCCCATGGCAATTCCATGGCAGTAGGCCCCCTGGCCCCGAGTACAGTGCCGCGGCAGCGAACGGCCATTGGAGCGCAAATCTTCACCTTGATGACGCGAAGACTGCTGGGCCCGGCTGGGCCGGACGCGAATGTCTTTGAGCAAACAACGAGTGACTTCGCGGTACAGCGGCCTCGCGGGATTCTCCACCACGTAGAGGAGGCTGCGTGTCCTGCTGTCCGCGTCCTGCTGCCCGCGTCCTGCTGTCCGCGTCCTGCTGTCCGCGTCCTGCTGTCCGCGTCCTGCTGTCCGCGTCCTGCTGTCCGCGTCCTGCTGTCCGCGTCCTGCTGTCCGCGTCCTGCTGTCCGCGTCCTGCTGTCCGCGTCCTGCTGTCCGCATCCTGCTGTCCGCGTCCTGCTGTCCGCGTCCCGCCACTGGGAACAGGAAACCCGCCGCCAGACCGAGGCGCTCGCGTTCTGTATCTGCATGCACGCCGTGCTAATTAAGGCCTCCGGCTCTTCCTCGAATCCGCGTCTTCCCCGGAGCGACCTGGAGGAGGACGCGGGCCTGAGACCGCGGGTCGCCCGGACACGTCCACGTCGACAGCATGCATGGCTTGTCCTCCGAGGGTCCCCGTCGTTTGGGGCCTCGCCGAGGGCGTCGCTGTGGCGTCGCGACGCCGGGAGCCGCGCCGCTCACCGCCCACCGCCCGGTACACCCGCAGGCAGGCCCGCAGGCCGCAACGCCCAGTGACCTTGAGGCCGTGGGAGTCTTCGAGTCTTCGACGTGGCGGGCGCGGACGCGGCGGACGCGGCGTCGTGACCACGCCGACGACTCGGAGCGCGCCTCGCGCCTCGCGCCGGCTGCCTGGGTGGCTCGGCAGGTGGCGGTACACTCGGCAAACAACGCTGGGCCTGAGGCCTGAGCGATGCGCGTCCTAGGAAAACCAGAAAAGGCATCGCGAGGAGCCGGTGTTTGAACCCGCGTCAGTCGGGGATTCCGCTTCGCCTCTGCTTCGGCGGTTTGCTTGCGCCGTTCCGCCTCGCGGCCCACTAGTCCTCCTCTAGCCCCGCCAGCGCCGGGCCGGGCTGAGCCGAGCCGAGTCGAGTCGAGGCGGTTGTCCAGGCGAACTCATTATTACATTGCTGGCGGAATGCTGGCGTGGCAGCGAGGCGGCCAGGCCGTCGTGACGTGGATTGGCTGCAGCCAGCCGTCTCGCCGAAATGGTGGCGGAGCGCAGTTCGCGCCACGAGGGCCGCCCTGGCCGTGGAGGCCTGACCGTGACCGTGCCATCCGCCTAGGGCAGCCTAGGGCAGCCTAGGGCCCAAGGACTGCAGGGCGTAGGCGGGCCTTGAACCTTGAACCGGCCGCCGGCGTCGCGGTCCTCGCCTGTTCGTTCGCCTCGAGATGCGGCGTGCAGCCACGCACGCGGTCCCCGGCCGCCGCCGGCTGGCCCCTCGCGTTTTTACCAGCCCTGTGTGCGAAAATATGCCTCGGCTTTTCCCTGCAGGCCTCTCCCTCTCCCCTCCCCTCGGCGTGGGTCAAGGCCCAGCCCCTGTGAGAAAGGCGGCGCCGGACCACGGACCACTTCCACGGCCCGCAGCCTGCCGGGTAGGCAGGCCCGTCGAACTCCGGTGACCGCGCGCTGCCTACCCGCCAGGCGCTAGCCCGCCTTTGCCGTGCCCCGGCAGCAGCAGCGGACTGATTACGAGAGTCGTTTTCGCCGTTCTGTCTCTCTCACGCCTAAAGGTGACGCCCCATGAGTGCGAGAGAAACAGAGCGACGGGGAAGACTGTCGGAATGAGTCTGCAGAGCGCTCCGCGTGCGACAACCGGCCCGTCCACTTGGCCTTTATTTTGACCGCGAGGAACGCCTCCGCCTGTGTGTCCCGACCCGAGACGGCCGGGCCGTCGGCTTGGCGTCGCGTCAGGTCGCTAACAGGCTATCAGCGAGCTGGCTGGCCAGGCTGGCCAAGCTGGCGGCGGCGCGTGCCCACTACACTAGTGCCACCGAGAGCGGAGGACAGATGGCGCCGGACGGCGCGGACTGCAACCCGCCGACCCGCCGCCGCGCCACTGCCGCTCTTCCCTCGGGCGCACGGCGCCTTGCATTTCCGCGGTGCATTCCGCATCCAACTCAGTGCGATGAATTGCATCGGATTCGAGCGGGCCCCTACTCTGCCGGTGGCTGGCTGCTCTGCAGTGCTCTGCAGTGCTCTGCACGGAGTGTAATAAGGCTGCGCGACCTTGGTCCGTGTCGCCGTCCCGTCGCCTAGCCGCCTAGCCTCGCCTCCGCTGCACGAGCCTCGTCGCCGCCGCCGCCGCCGCCGGCGGCAGCCAGCCCATGACTTGCCCGCGGCGCTGCCCATGGCTTTGCCCATGGCTTTGCCCATGAGATTGCTCCCGGCCTGGCGCATGCTGACGCAGGCACTGGCCGGCCCGCCGTTATGTCTCGCGGGCTGGACGGACGGGCCAGGCGGACGGGCCGACGCGACGGCCGGATGAGCAGGAAGCATTGTTACGCCGCCGCCCAAGTGCCCCTTCCGGATTGTGCAAGTTCGGTGCAGTGGCGGCGGCGGCCGGCGGTCTCAATCTGAGCGGCGCTCCCTCACACTCATGGAGCGACCCGTATGGGTGCGAGAGAGACAGAGCGACGAAAACCTCTGCGGGATCGCTCTGCTGGTCGCCTCGCCACCGTACAGTGGGCCAGAAGACCGGTGGAGCGGCCAAAATTCGAGACGCGTTTTGAGCTCCAGAGTCGCTAAATGGGACTCGAACCGAGCGTGTGACCCCACCAATGGATTCCTCGTTCGGACGATGCACCTCATGACGCTGGCCCTCCCCCACTGTGGACACCATTTCCTCTCCGATTTGGTTTGTTTCGTCTGAGACTTGATCTCGAGCCTTGTAGCCTATCTGGATTGAAGACGAGTTCCGGTTGGTTAAAAAATAATTTTCACGTTAATTGAAAATATATGTTTATTTCATAAATACCATTTTAATACCAGATTCAAAAATAAGCCATCAAGGTTTTAAATACTCTTGAAGCTTAAGAGAGCAAGGAAAAGCAAATGGGTTTACAATGTAAACTTTTTCTTTACAGAGAAAAAGAAACCAGGTCACAACACTTAAGACACAGCAAAATTTCTAGACGTTCAGTGGCAGAGAGAAGGCACAAAATTACAGCAGTAATAAAATATATTGGAGTGAAAATTACTGAAAATCTCTGAGAAAATGATCCTTTCTTAAACAAAGCATAATAACTCTCTTTGGCACCTTTACGTTACACTGGTACAATTATACTTAAAAGTTACAATAGACTAATAACAGAGGGAAAAACCTGGGTGCCTGCCCCATTTTCTCCATTACACACTCGAAAATAAAACAAGTTAACAACAAAACTGCTGACCATGCACAATATAGAATGTCTTTCTGAGCAAAACACTAAATTTTAAAAAAAGTAAGTGGTTTAAAAAACAATTTTCTATTTTCAGATAAAATAATTCATTTTTGGTATAGGATAGCTCAGAAAAGCACACGAGGTCGTATTGAATCACAATGTGACAGGATATAGCGAGATTACAAGTTAGGGTGACCTGCAAACCTTTGCCATATCACAATGCCTAATAATAAGATTCAATTCAAGGACAAACTGCATGTTTACAACATACAGTAAAGTTGAAACAAACCCAAAGGGCGCCCATAAAATTAGAAGAATCTGTACTTTACTAGTAAAAAAGAAGAGGGTAAAATGGCAAATGATTTGATTGCGATTATTAGAACCATGTAATAATAATTTGCAGATCATCACTGTTGAAATTATAGTAAGTTGTGTGAGACATGTACCACATCAGTCACAGTAGCGTAAAAGTTTAGTGTTTGCTGTGAACAATATTGATTTTACCATTGGAGGACGACAATTGTTTAATTGAAAGTGCACACAGCAGGCAGTATGATGAAAACATTACTTCCACTTGTCTAAGCAAACTTGTCAGGCAAAAAATTTAATTCAAACATCTACAGATCCCAATTTGTACTGGAGTAATATCATTTAAATCATAAAATGGAATAAGATCACACAAGATAATTAATGCAATCAACTTTGAAATAAGAAAAAAACTCCTGCATTATGAAAATCCTGCAACTGACTGTATTATTGCACATGCACACAGCATACATGCTTTGTCAAGCAATATGATGCTAATTCAAACTGGTGATCCCATCACAAAACTCATTAAATACATATTTCTGATCAACAGAATAACCACAAATAAATACGAAAATGATCTTTCTGACACACATTCTGTCCTTAGAAATACAGCAGGATCAAATCCCTTAAAATCTTAAAATATAAAAGGCAGTCTAGATTGTTTCCCTGGGAACAGCACCAAGTACTTATTTCATAATAGCCTCCCCTCTCGAAGTAAAGGTAGGTGGATATTCAAGGAGTAGAAATCCAATCTAATTGTGTCTTCATAATACATAGAGAATAAAAATTGCACACTTGCCAGAAGCAAGTGCAAAGCATCTTTGACAAAACAAAGTACATCTTAGGGAATTATATACACGGGTAATAAAGGTAGTAGGAATTTAAAAGGTAGCACACTTATTACATACATTTACTTTCAGCCACATCTTTCTCACTAATACTACTTAAAGCATGGCTATATGCAAGTGAAGTTAAAAGTCATGAATACTGCATCAAAAATACACACTTCGAAGTAGTCAACAACATATTTACAAGAAATCACAAGCATCAATCAGCACAAAGGTGTTGACACATCCATTAACACTAGCCTCTCAGCCAAACCCAAACATCAAACGCAAAATTCACTGGACAGACTTAGCTCTATGTCACTAAGAAGCACAAGAGCTTTTCTTCTCTTTAATCACTAACAGGTTGAGGTTTACATAGATAAGAATTGATAATTAACAATGCTTCCCTCAAATACAGAAGACAATGGACATGGGTGTACAAACATCTAACAGTCTAAAACTTGCTACCTGAGATTAAGAACTGGGAATATGCACCAATAAGAGGAAGGGGACACGAGAGTGAACCTAAGAAAGAGATCTAACACTGTCACAAAATCACGGCTAGAGTTTCAGAGCCATGTCCACGTCCACTGCATAAGAATAAAATAGGGGGTATGAATCCTGCCATAAGACTACTGTATAGTGATTATTTTCATAAGATCACTATTAGTTAACTATCACAAATCGAAGAGGAGTATGATCAAACTATCAAATTGGTAAAATAAGACAGGAACTGCCGTGTCAAATTTGACTACAAGAACTTTCTTCACAAATCCTTCAGGTTTATATCACAATGAGGAGCTCCTTGAGCTCCAGTTCCACCCTAATCTTCACATACACAATTCCATTCATTCACCAAAATAAGCAATCAATTAGTATGTAAACAATTTTCTATCTCTCATTCAATCACATACGCATGCATACGTGTGATCATATCACTCAGAATCAGAAAAACAAACAAATTGACTTTTAAAACTGTTTAAAATCTAGAAGAGAACATAGGCAAGGAAAACAAAACTTTGGCATGACAATAATACAGTTTAGAACATCTCCAAACAGTAACAAGGCAATAGCATATCCTGTCTAGTTTAAAAACCGTATTGCGTCTCATCTTCTGCCAGCAGTAGTGCACAGAAAGAAACTACACTATACAAAAATATATGAGAGTAACTCATTGTCAACGTCAAAATGCATTAGAAGTGTGCAAGAAATGGTTTCTCCAGAGTCCTTGTAAGTAAAATAGACATCCTCATCAGAGTATCACAAATAAGAAGCTTACTGACCATAAAAAAACAACAGAATAAAGTACTGTCTAAAAATGTTGAAAGAAATTTCTTCTATCTTAAAAAATAACTCTGGAAACGCTAATCACAGCACTAACATGTTGTTCATAAATATAAATAAAATCTTGCTCTCCACAGTAAAATCTTACACACCTCTAATTCACAGATTGAAAACTTAATTTGCAAGGACTTCATGACACAGCATCTAGTGATTGTGACTATAGAGCATTATATGCATCTCACTGGATAAGATCTACAGGGACTAGTCATGTATATAATTTACATTCAGGTTAACGTCTCAGATGATTTAAGAAAAAAAAACAAGTAAAAAAAAGAAAACAAACAAAAAACCGGCTTTTGTGAGATTTCTTTTAAATGATTGGCTTATACTCAGTAACATCTTCCCTATACTACACTCAATCAAATGTCATGTTTCTAAGCTCCATGTAGCCTCCAGTTAGCTTAGGAAATAAGGCTTGCCTATCTGGTGCATTGCTGAACTGATGCCTCTTTCTGTACACTGTGATACCCACACAGCCAGCTGCCACAGTGACAAGGAAAGCTAAAATTCCTGTCAGCACCTGACCAGCAACTGTTATGGCAACAACTGGTCTTGATGCTGAGGCAGACATTAAAGGATGGTCTTCCTCAAAGCGAGACTTGACTGTTAAACGTTCTCCATACTTCTCAAGGAATTCCATGATGACTCCATTTGTCCACCCAAATCCAAGCTGAACTTCATACTCTCCTCCACCACCTCCACCACCAAAAACAGTGGCGTCATACTTTTCGTACATGCCATGTGTGTCATTGAAAGCTTTATAATTAGATCGAACCCACTTTTCTGTGATCTCAAAGGCTAAATCTTTTGCAGACGGATCGCCAGAGTTATCCAAAGCAATTACCATTATGTATTGCAAAGGAGGCCAAGCATTAGGATAATCCCACTGTTCTCCAGAATGCTCTAATGTCGTTGGAATTCCACCAAGGTTCACCATAATACGAGTCTTTTCCAGATATTTAAGTACTTTTCCAATATAGTCTTCCTTCTTAGCAGGGTCAAGGCATCCAGTCCAAAGAGGTGCCAAATTTGTTGGATAAAAATAGTCCCGTTTGACTTCATTTAGTTTGTCATAATCAAGCCAGACACCAACTTCTTCATGCCACAACACTTTATCCACAGCCTCAAGCCATTCTTGAGCTAAACCTTCATAATACAAGGCTTTACTAGCATTATTGAGTTTCTTGTGAAAGTCAGAAAGAATTACAGCATTCCAATACATGACAGAGTTTAAATCAACTGGAATTATATTAGTGGTCATGGTATTTGTCAAGTTCCCCTTGTTTGTGCCATTCAAAATGAACCACCTGCTAGAGAAATCCCATCCTGATTCAGCCCCAGCTTTGAGCTCTCGGTAAAAAGAATCTTTTTCGCCCTCAGTCTGAAAGATTTGTGCGCTTTGAATGTCCTCTCGATAAGATTCTGGCCTTGGGCCTGAGGAGTAATCAATAAAACGGGCTAGTCTATAGTGCTTCCCGTCCTTCTCAATCAACACAGTATGCTTCTCCATCCAAAAGTCAAACTCTTTGTCTAATGTTTTAATATTTTGTTTGACAAAATCCATGTCGTGAGTTTTTTCTACATAACTATGGACCATTGGAGTAAGAAGTGGAGGCTGTGACCTTCTGGCGTAGTAAACTCGGCCACCATTAGGGATAAGTCCAATTCTTTCAACAATTGACACAAAGTTTGCTAGCATGCCACGTACAGTGTCATACATTTCTGAAAGAAGGAGGCCTCGCACAATCCAATAAGAATCCCAGTAGTAAAACTCACGGAAGCGGCCACCAGGAACAATCACAGGATTGGGCACGTAGATTATTGAATAATATTCTTCATTTAACTTGACTTCATCTTTCATCTTGCGTCCTAAAGATTTCCATAAGTGGTGTAATTCACTGCCCCACTCTTGAAAAGCAGGGTCACTAATGTTTTTTAGGAAGGCTGGACTTGGCTTCCAGTCAGAGGGATCCCAATCTTCAAATTCACTGCCTGGTGGCTCAAAAGTTTCATTCACAAATCTTTCCAAATCTAATCTTGAAGGGTTGTCATGAGTTCTTGCCATCATATCTTCAAATAGTCTCATAGTTTCATTTTTTGTGAATTTCATCTTCATATCAACAAAAGTTTTAGAGTCATGATAAAGTGATGCCATCTGTATGGTATGAAGCAGTTTTCCATGACAATAAATAATATTATCACATGGAGGAGGGAGAGCTTCCTTTGGAGTATCAGCACTTCCACTATGGATTGTGACAGCGGCCACAACACAAAGCACTGTTAACACAACTTGAGCCATCATGATGAAGGAAAAGCTCAAACAGTCCTCACGATCACTGACACTTCACTGAATGTTCTCTGTACAAAGAGAGGTTTTTCATAACTTTTTGTTCACTTTCTATTCCGTTTCACAAAGCAGGGTTGTAGGTTGCAGCTGGAGATTCGCTCACTGGTTCACATCACTCTGAAAAACAGAGAAGACAACTGCATGAGTTAAATAAATAACAAACATAAAAATGCTTATTGAAATTGTACAAGGTATTAAGTTCCCCATAATTAACTAGTCATGATGAAGCTAAGAGGCGCTTCTTTTCAAAGGAACAAATGTCTCAAGATAAGTGAGACTGAAAAAATTAATCTTCTTTCATGAATACTGACCAATTATAGGTCTGCCTTTTGCACGCCTGCCAGCCTTGCATGACAGACCAATTTGCTTTGGTTGACATGAGCAATCATTTTCAAACTGAGCCAACTAAGCGAACAGAGTGTGGCCAGGGAAAACAGATGCACCGCACAGATCACTGGCCAGCCCAGCACAGCCCAGCACAGTGAGCCATCAGAGGTGCTCAAATGCAGACTGATGTTGGAGAGGGAGGGACAAGGGACTCACAGCAGCCAGCTGAGACTGTGGGAGAGGGGGCGGAGTGGGTGGGGGGGGCAACCACTAGAGCATGGCGAGTGGGGGAAGGAGTGAGAAGGTACAGGAGGGGGAAGGCCCACACTGTGGAGGGAGGTGATGATAGAGACAACAAAATTACAAGTTGCAAGTATTAAAGCGACCAAAATGAAGCACCTCTTTTCCAAGGTGGTTAGTTGTAAAATTCAAGCACAGAGTAAGACTTTTAAATGAAAGAGTGGCTTCAGCAAAAGCTTTCCTGAGTAGTCCTTCATCTATTTTTGTCTTGGCACAGACAATAAGATTTTTCTTAAGCTCCTTTCAGCAGCGTAGCAGGCTTGCTGTTCATTTATATGAAAGTGAAGCACTAACATAATACATTACCACATTGCATTTGAAACAAAATTTATCATAAACACCAATGTAAATAAAAAAATGGATTGGTTGGGCTAGTCTTGTTCATTGAACTTTATTAATGAAAACAACAAAAGGGCTCATTTCTATGAATGGAACTAAATACATATACAAGAGTTATAAACCTCTTCAAAGTTGCTGGTCTTAAACTGGGTCTGTGGGGCTTATTGGCATCATTCCAAAGCCTGGTTTAAAGGGCTATCTCATTAACAAAGATAAATGCGGGTTACACTGCAAAATTTGATTTCATCTGCATCAGAATGTTTTAAAACCATATTGTCTTGATTTAATATACTTTCTTTCCAGGATAAATATTTTGCATTGAAGAACCGAAAATTGAAACTCCAAAAAGTACAGAAAAGTTCTACTTTCAGACAGGCATGACAACTTATTTTTGCCATCTGAAAACACTCAAATTTAAAAACTGTTGGCTCCATTGAATGCCTATGCCTAAAAAGATGTATTTTGTCAAAAAAAATTTAATAGAAATAGATTTGAGTCACCAGTTCATTCACATAATGTTAAGTGAAGGGCAAAGACAAACTAGCCCATAAAACAAAAGGTTCCATAGGTTAATAAGGCAGATTTTTTCATGAGACAAATATAGAACTATCGATGGAACAAGGAGAAACTCCTCCACCCAAATACGGATGCAAAAGTATCAAGAAATGGCAAGAGTAAGCAGGCAACCACAGACTACTGCAGAGGGCTCAGACGTTTGATTGCTCATATCTCCCCAAAAAGTGTGGCGTTTGTAGGCCTTGCATCAAAACCCAGCACCAAAATTAAAAACAGGCATTACGAAGCAGTTTTGTGGCTCAACGATTAGACTGGAAGGTCAGAGCGACATGGCTTTTTCACTAACCTTAGAGCTGCTCTTAGCACCGCGCGGATATCATTGTAATCGCGTCCTAAAAGGAGAAAGACAGCTGTGAGTGACGCAAGGAGACGCTAAAGTATGCTATCGTTCGTGCGGAGTGTTGAACGAAATAACGCTCACTTAAACAATGCATTAATCTTTTCTTTCTAAACGGACTTACCTTCGGTTACACAGAGCTCGTACGGCGGAGTGCGGGCTTCGGGCTTCTGCTTTCACTTACAATACGTTGTTCAATGACGCCCCCTTTACAGTTTTTAATGTAGTACAGTCACGCACAGCTGAAACGCTCTAATCATATGTCCCCTCTTCTTCGGAGGAACTTATGAGAGTTAACATGGGTGACCTTTTAATTCTCGAAACTTGAGATAATTTATTGACCTGAAAGACGTAGAAGATACCATAAATATATGATCTCACTACATGTTTAGCTTCGGAGAGTTGGTACGCTTTGTTGTTATTGCCGGTAGTTCGCTAGAGTGCAGCACCGTCGCGACTGAGATAGGTTGTGCACGTGGCTGCAAGACCAAATTTTAATATTTTTAAAATTTATTAGCCTGAAATAAGAAGTTTGGAGGACTCTGTATCACTTGATGGTTCCAATTTTATCTACTTTTATTGTTGTCGTCGAGAAAACTTGGAAAGTTGAGGTTGGACTCCACAACCTATTGTAGTTCAGCAACTGGCCACTATGGCAGCCCAGGGGGCGCTGAGCTTCGGAGCGGCAAGTGGCACATTTTTTAAAAGAGTCGTGGGTGGATCCTTACCTGTTCATCCTTCAAATTCTACACATCGTCAATAATATGACATAGATCTTGGGCGGATAGCTAGACCGCAGTATTTTCTATTGACCCTGATGGCAAGATTTGCCCCATGTGGTTGAATCTTCTCGTAGATCCTTGGGAAACATGTCGGGCATGTCCCTCGCCGGTCTGCCCCCTCTCCACGGGTGACGGGCAGGGCCACAGTGACGTGCACAGTATCACAGCACAATCCCGGTGCGGGCGCGGGTTGCGGGGTTTGCTGTTGGGAACCGCGTCGAGGCGAGGACGACATTGACTATTTAAGCAGCAAGTGGGAGCGCTCGACCCGGCCGCTGTTAAATTGGGAGGTTTTAGGCACCCTTTACCATGACTTCCGTGATGTTGAGGAACCGTCTGCCCGTGTTGGAGGTTAGTCAAGTTACTTTCTCGTTTAATTGAGTCATTTCACCGTTTTATTTTACGCAGCGAGATCTTTGGCCTTCGTATGTTGCCGCGTGGAAACAGAGAAGTGTGATGTCACTTTTGGCCTTGACTACTTTGTTTGCTTCAGGCTTCATGCTGTTGCTAATGGCCAGATGATTTGCGACTTATTTTATTTCAGGTGTTACCAGCTATGAATGAACAAAACCTTTTAAGTCCTTTCACCATTCCTTCCTGTCTTTCTTTCATGAATTATAATTTCTTTGAGTTCTTAGTGTACCCTGTGATGTATACGAGAATATAAATTGTGTACAGTAACACATCATTTTTCTTATTTTTTTACAGAAGTCCTGGGTGTGCATGACAGGTGCACGTTCTATGAGTTCTGTTCCCAACACAAAACTTTTTATAAATGGAAAATTTGTTGAGTCCAACACCAAAGACTGGGTAGACCTGCACAACCCTGCAACAAATGAGGTAAATGATGCGATAAGGGCATGTCAATTTTTGATTATTCTTAAATAATTTCTACCCCCTTAAAAATGTAGAATTTATACACTCACTCTTTACATTATCGCATGACATTTTCAAACTTTATGTTCACTACCACACATTTATTTATTTTTTAAATGGTTTAACATGGTTCTTTACAATTATTTGGGTTCTTTAGAATTATTTGGTTTGTTATTCCTTAGCTACGGTTTTCTGCTTCAACTTCTTTCTAGATGGAGATAAGTCACAGATTGCTTTCAGGGTGGTAACTTGATAAGAGTTGTGTAATCTTGAATAAGATGTGTTGACATGAGGGTTTCTTATCTCAGATGTTGCAAATTTAGAACCAGAATACAGCAGAGTAACTAATTTTTCTTTTTGCCTGTCATTTCTAATGTTTTTATTGTAAACTGGTATTTTCTGTTTGACAGGTGGTTACTCGTGTGCCCAAAAGCACAAGTTTGGAGATGCAAAAGGCTGTTGAATCAGCCAAAAATGCATTCCCGGCCTGGTCCAACACCTCCATAATCTCTAGACAGTCAGTCATGTTCAAATTTGCTGAGCTGATTCGCAAAAACATGGTCAGTAATGTTTAAAACTGGTCTCATAATCCAACTTTTTACACTTTTAAACTGGCTGTTTTCACAATTCAACATTTCTTTTTAATTTCAGAAAGATTTGGCTGCAAACATCACTAAAGAGCAGGGAAAGACACTTGTTGATGCTGAAGGAGATGTGCTCCGTGGCCTTCGTAAGTTTTACTCTTAAATCAATAAAACAATACCAAACTGAATGAAAACGTTATCACACTGTATCTTGTTGCAGAGGTTGTTGAGCACTGCTGCTCTATTCCATCTCTTATGCAAGGTGAAACCTTATCTGGTATTGCCAAAGATTTGGATACCTACTCCTACAAACTGCCCCTAGGAGTGTGCGCTGGCATTGCACCTTTCAATTTCCCGGCTATGGTACCTCTCTGGATGTTCCCTGTTGCAATCACCGTTGGAAACACCTATGTCATGAAGGTCTGCTTGATTTTATTTCATTAAACTTTGTTGCTGTTGGATATATGAGAGTAATAGAGACTCTTTATTTTCATCAGCCATCTGAGCGTGACCCTGGTGCATGTATGATGTTGTTGGAACTTCTGAATGAGGCTGGATGCCCGCCTGGTGTTGTGAATGCTATTCATGGCACCCATGACTCAGTCAATTTCATCTGCGATCACCCAGATATCAAAGCTATCTCATTTGTGGGTGGTGACAAAGCGGTAGGTAGTTGGTGGAATCACAAACTTCTGAGTAGTTTTTTTGTATACTATGATAATGTTTTTTTCTCCCTTACATTTTTTTTTCAGGGTAAGCATATTTATGAACGGGGTGCTAAGAATGGCAAGCGAGTTCAGAGTAACATGGGTGCCAAGAACCATGGTGTTGTCATGCCTGATGCAAACAAAGAGAATTCCTTGAACCAGTTGGTAGGAGCAGCCTTTGGTGCTGCTGGTCAACGATGCATGGCTCTGTCAACGGCTATCTTTGTTGGGGAGGCCCAGAACTGGTTGCCTGACCTGAAGGCCCGTGCTGAAAGTCTGAAGGTGAATGCGGGTAAGATTGCCATGTTTTAATTTTAAGTTTATGAATATTTCCTACAGTCAATAAGTGTACTTATGTCTGGGTATTTTTTTGCAGGCCACATTCCCGGTACTGATCTTGGCCCAGTCATCTCCCCTGAGGCCAAGAAGCGCATTTTGGAACTGATTGAATCCGGTGTTCAGGAAGGAGCTAAGTTACTTCTTGATGGTCGTGGCTTAGTTGTTCCTGGGTTTGAGAAGGGCAATTTTGTGGGCCCAACTATTTTGACTGATGTTACTGTGAGTAAAAGTCTTAGTTTTTGTTTTTTTCACCATAACTTATTTTTGTCAACTAGTTTACCTCTATATTTGTTTTATTTTGTCTAAAAAATAGCCCAGCATGCGCTGTTACAAGGAGGAGATCTTTGGCCCAGTTCTGGTGTGCTTGTCTGTTGATACTCTTGATGAAGCCATTCAAATTATCAACAAGAACCCCTATGGTAATGGTGCAGCTGTGTTCACAAACAATGGTGCCACTGCAAGAAAATTCACATTTGAAGCTCAAGCGGGCCAGGTATGTTTTACAAATAATATTTTTCCTCCCATGTTAGTCATTACCATTTCTATATAATTAGTCGTAACAACATCTTTTTCACCTTAACTAGGTTGGAATCAATGTCCCCATTCCTGTTCCCTTGCCAATGTTCTCCTTCACTGGCTCTCGTGGTTCATTCCTGGGAGATCAGCACTTCTATGGCAAACAAGTAAGATATCCGTATTTTCATCTTCCACAGTCTTTTTGAGCTAATTTAACCTTTATTTAAACAAAACTTTTTATTTTTTGCCTAGGGTGTCAATTTCTACACTCAAACCAAGACTATTACCTCGAGCTGGCGTGAGCAGGATGTGACCCACACTCAGGCGGCAGTAGCCATGCCTGTCATGAAGTAGGATGCCCACCCCACCGCCCATCGCATATCCGCGTTCTTCCAGCAATTTGTGCCATATACAAAACTATCCCTATGCAGGAGTCTGTGTTGTTATTTTTTTATTTTTTTTTATAAACAATTTTGTGCCTTAACTGCCTGTATAAGGCTGTCTGTAAATAGTACAAATTATAGCTAAAAGTACAAAGACAATTTTGATACATGTCCTAAAAAAAATTTGTTATTTTTTCTGTTTTTCTCCATGTGTTATTGAGTCATGTTTTGAGGGTCACTTGATCATACTGCATTGTATTCATAGAAGTATTGTTCTCTTGTCAAGGTGCTAATTTAACAAACAAGGTGCCCTAGAAGTATTAGTGGCATGCACTACTTTGCTAACATTTGTAACAGTGTTACTGAATTGTAAAGTCAAGATGTCTTCCATTAGTATTGTGAAGCTGAGCAAATATCAGAGTTTTAACTGTTTGTGTGAAATCAAGATGCTGATTCTATTAAGTATCATTGATGTGTTGTTTTGTGCAGAAGTTTTTCCCATCATGTTCTATTTTATCATTGTTTTCTAGTGCGTATGTTGATAATTTTAGATTTATATATAGATATTTTTATATGAATTGTCTGTGTGCCATTTCTTTTTGGTGGAGTCACTGTAACATTCCTATTTGCTGTTGCCAGAGTCTTAGTTGAAACACCATTAGTTCAAGTGTGGACTAGAAGACTGTTTTTGAGTAGGTTAACCGAATTGTTTTGGTGTTGTAAAATACATTTGATTGATAAATCTGTTGCAATATATTTATTTATAACAAAAAACAACAATAAATTCCTTACATCTTGCTACTGATTTGGTATTGTTTATTGAAACTCTTCCTTTCATCTTACTATGGTGTCAGAACAAAATATGCAGTCCAGTTCTCCAGATTTCATAATTACAACTGCACATGTTCTTAAGTTTTTATTTGAACACCCATTATGAATGGATTCTTCCTTTGTTGGCTCAACCCATGAAAGAACAGTATGGCGAGGGTGGTCCTAACACTCCTGACTGGACTTAAATTTAAGCACACTCACATACACACTCACACACACACATTTAAGTTAATTCAGTTCTTCTGTGAAGCGTAATAAAATAGAGGCAAGGCAGGTATACAGCATACCCCACCCGGCCGTCACCCCATCTTGGTAGGAAAGGCGGAGGCAGTGGCAGGGGGCAGTGACTCCACGACGAGGAGGTGGGCTTTTGTTGATCCAGATAGTTGGAGAAGACCTCCAGCCGCTCCCCGCCTCGCGGCCTCGCCCGGAGTTGCCGGCCGGCGGCCACTGGGGCGACGGCGACGTCATCGAGGTCATAACGACTTGGAGGCTGCCGCCAGGGCGGCCCTCTCGTGGGGCAGGAACTGCGTGCCGCTCGTCAGGAAGGTCCTGGTGTTGTTGGCCGTGAACAGGAACGGCGCCTCGGCCGACGGGCACTTAAAGTCCTTGAGCAGGCTCGGCAGCAGCGTGGTGGACTTGAAGCCGATGGGCTGCAGCAGGTTGTTCCAAAGCAGATTGGCCGCTGGGGAGGGAATGACAGAAACAGACGCCTCGTTTAGAGTGGTTACGGCGGTTACGGCCTCCCATCTGGCCGGCGGGTGCGTTGGGTTGCCTGCCGCCCCGGCGGAGGCCGCCAGGACTCGGAGGCGACTCTGCTTTGCGACTTACCCATGGCGTGCCCTTTCTGGCTGAAGTGGAAGCAGTCGTAGGTGACGTAGGAGATGTCGATGACCTCGGTGCCCCACTGCGCGCGGTCCGTGGGCGCGTTGAACAGCTTGATGAAGGGCTGGATGACGACGGTGAAGTCCTCCCGGGTGTCGTAGCGGCCGCTGTCCACCTGCCGTGCGAGTCAGACTTGCGTTAGTAATCGCGCAGAGGCAATGGATTTCAGACTCGGTCGGAAATTGGAGGCAGAGTCATACAAGCTGCTTCTCGGCGCGCTGGAAGTCGCGCACGGAGCTGGTGATGATGTCCATGGCGTCCGCGTTGCCGTCTAGGTGGAAGCACTGGCAGAAGAAGCGGTGCAGCACGCGGCACATGAAGGAGCGCTTCACTCTCACCGACACGGACGGGTCTGGTGGAAAACAACAATAACAAAAGATTGGCGAAACTAGAACATTTTGGAGACAAGTTCGTCGCGCACTGTGCATTGCGCAAGACATTGACCTATGACGGGCACGAGGTTGACGAAGGTCCTGGGCAGGTTCTGGTGCAGGTAGTCCAGGGCCAGGCGCAGCTTGCGCGCGTGCTGGTTGGCGGACGTGCCATCGCGATCGTAGCACTGCGCGGAGCAGATGTCGTTGGCGCCGAACAGCAACGTCACCATCTACAAGCAGAGCAAGCAGAGCGCCATACCGTCAGGACGGGCAGGACGTCCGCACGGTCCAACGGCCGCGGCTGGGCGCGGGGCGTACCTTCCAGTCGTTGTGGAAGTCGATCGTGGGGTCCTTCTTCATCTTCTTGACGAGGAAGACGGCCTGCTTGTAGGCGTCGGACGCAGCGCTGACGGGGAACGCCACGTTCATGTGCGCGTTGCTGGCCAGGAACTCCCCCTTGCCGGTGGAGTAGCCCTTGAGGTTGGGGTTGAACTGCTTCAGGATGTTGGGCAGCGTGAGGTAGTGCCGCCAGTCACCCTGGCCTCCTGCGCCACAAAAAAATTAAATAAAATAGTGTGAGTTCGTAACCGCTTTTGTTGTTAAGACGCTAAGTCCTTACCGGCGCACCAGGACACCCCGCGGTACTCGATGAGGGTGCCGAGGGCGAACTCCTCGAGCGCCCCGTTGCCGGCCACCAGCGAGTCGCCCATGGCGCCCACCACGGCGATGTCGCCCGGCCGCAGCCGGTGCACCGAGGTGGGCGTCGTCCGGGACCGGCCCAGCGGGCCCGTGGCCGTGGAGTTGCAGGGGAAGGGCATGGTCGCGGGGAACAGGGGCTGCCTGCGGATGCCCGACTGCTCGGCCGGAGTGCCCCCTCCTGGACCGGGGCCGCCGCGGTTCGTCTGGGGGAATGCCAATGACATCAGTGCCGGGGTACCCTCGCACCGCTCGCACACAGCGGCTCAATCTTGAACACACTCACGAGCCAGGGCGGGCGCAGGATGTCGTTGTTGGCCAGCGAGCTGAAGATCTGGCCGCGGGCGGGGCCGGGCAGGGCGGCGAGCAGCACCAGGACGAGGGCGGCCACGACGCCGGGCAGGAGCAGCGGCGACGGAGCGGGCGATGGCGGCGCGCGCAACGCCCCGCGCAACGCCCCCATCCCTGCCAACAGCCAAAAACAAAGCAAAGTGACAAATGGCCGCGGACCGAGGACACCGAGGACCCGGACCCGGGGTTGCCCAAGACGGCCAGGCGCGTGCTACTGAGCAAATGATGATCCAGGTCGGCGCAACGCGCAACTCTGTCGCCGCGCCGCGTCTAAACAGTTGGACAAACTGCGTGCTGCGTGCATCCTTGTGCTGTCGGCGTGCTGTAGGCGTGGCGCCGGCCCGGGCCTCTGGCCGGACCGGCAGGCGTGCCACTCTGACCGCAGCGCGACGTCAAGTGGAAACGCACATACTGTACGGCATACTGCGTAGCGCATCGCACGATCCTATCGAAAAGCTTTCTTTGGCAGCGCGTCTTTCCTTCGCTCACGGCGTCACCGGTGTCATGTCACGAGCCTCGGCCTGCTGAGCGGAGCAGCAGCGATTGGCAGCGAAAAGGGCGGTCTTTGCGTGCTCTGCACCAAGCCGTCCATCGTTAGCGTTTACGGCCGATTCCCGCGGATCCGAGTGAATGATGTGGAGGTGGGCACACACGGTGGTCGGGGCGGGGCAGCGGGGCAGGGACACCGGAGAGGCCACAGGTGAAAGTCAGGGTCTGCGTACTGAGCTGAACTGAGGACTTAGAGGCAGCGGCGGGGCCGGGCGGCGGGGCCGGGCGGCGGGGCCGGGCGGCGGGGCCGGGCGGCGGGGCCGGGGCGGCCAGGCGGGGCGAGCTGGTTCGGCCGGTCCGGTTGGCCGGTACGCGCGCAGGGCGTGCAGGGCCTGCTCGTTGGGCTGGGCCCCGTGGCGTGGCGTGCCGTGCCCGCCGTGCCGTGCCCGCCGTGCCGTGCCGGCTTGGGCGACGCGCCGTCTGGCGGACCTGCGCGCGGACGGACACGCACTCCCCGCCCCTCCCCTTTTCACACAAGCCCCGCGCGCCTCCGCCTCCTGGACCAATGGGTGTCAAGACGGCGTCAAATTAACGAGAATCGACAAAGAAAGCCTCGGACACTATTTTTAGCCAACTTTCTATCAACGATGTTGACGGAACATCGCGTTCTCTGCTTCGACGTTGTCCTGACGGGCCGGCGCGGGGGCATCTTCCTGGGCGTGCCCCCGGCCCCCGACACGCACCAAGCAGCCCGGTCCAGCGTCCAGCCGCGCCAGAGGAACGCGACGGGAAAAGCAAACCGCTAAAGAGGAAACGGCGTAACTGAAACTTCCCGCGTCCACCAATGGCAGCAGAGCCACCAGTTGTTCCAAAGTGACACGATACACTGCCCGAATGGCGGAATGGCCAGAGTAGTGGCGGGTGCAATGACGTCGCCGGGGGTCTCGTGGCTCTGCGAGCTCTGCTACTCGCAGTGGACCGCGCCACAAATATTGCGAACTGGCGGGCTGGGGACTGGGGGCAGGGGCCTGGGGACTGGGTTAGTTCCGGCGGAACGTTCTTGATGTTTTCCTGCGGCTATCGTGGCCGGGCAGGGCCGGGCCCGGGGCTGGCGCGCTGGCGCTGGGGCTGCGCGGCTGATACCGGAGCACTTAAGGCCTTTCCCTGGCCGTTCCCACGCCGGCCGTGCTTTTATATAAAAAATGAAAAAGTAACGCCGCGGCGCGTCGTGTCGGCCACGCCGGCCGAGCGGGGCAAGCGGGGCGTCTTCAAGGCCTCGGCGGCCTTGTGGGGCAACTTAGCAGTGCAGCATCCGCAGCATCCTCGGCCGGCGCCCTTGACGAGTGCAGCAGCATGACCGCGACGGCGGCACGGCGGCAGCCCCTGTGGGGCCTCGCCGGGCCCACCGAGGAGCGTCTCGCCGCCCTGCCTCTCTCGCACCGAGACGGAGACCCTCATGAGTGCGAGAGAGAGGGACAGTGCGACGAACACCGTGTTCGGAATGGCTGGGCTGGTGGCCGGTGGGCGCATGCCGATGGTCCGGCCAACGTCCCAAAGCACTAATTCTTCCCAAAGACTTTGCCTGGAAAAGGGGAGGGGGGCGCCCAAAGTGGCGCGACTGAGCTGGCCGGGCCGGGCCGGGCCGGGGTGTGGCGGGGTGTGCCGGGTTGCGGTGTGGCGGGGCGGGGCGGGGCGCGACGGTTACGCAAGCGGGGCCTGCATACCAGCATTTTGGAGGCAGGTGGAGTGGACGCACAACAGATGATGCCGTCCAAAACGGAACATTGGGTCGTCCTGTGGTGAATTAGGCGCTGCAGCGGGGAGAGCTGGGAGTGCAGGCAGTGCATGCCGGGCTGCCCGGCGTACGCGCACCGCGACGCGCACGGAACCCAAAGCCGGACTCGCCACAAATGCGGGGGAACAGAATAATTAATAGAGCGAGAAGGTCGAGAGGAAGAGAGCCGCGCCGAAAGCCCAAGCCGCACAGACTACGCCGCGCGCTCGCATGGCGCAGAACTGCGGACGCATCGCGCATCGCGCAGCGCGCGCGTGTGTCTGTTGTTCGGCGTTGTTGCTTTCACACTTCAATTTGTTGTCTGCGCGATGAAGACATTCCGGACAGCCGCGCGGGCAGGCAGCCTTCAGGCAGCCGCACGGACAGGCGCGGCTGTTCCTTTTAATTACGAAACGGAAAGAAGAAAGAAGAAAGAAATGGCGTGCGCGGTGCGCGGTGCGCGGCCCTCTATACGTTTCGGCCAGGCCGGGCCAGGCCGGCATGCCCCGGCATGCCACACCGATAACTCAATTACTCTGGCTGCTGGCTGCCCCCCCCCCCCTTCTTCGTCTAATGACGCCCTAATGCGGCGTGGGAGTTAACCTTTGCCGCCACGCCTCGACGCGGTGCATCCAACACTCTTCGCGCAACCGAGAGAGAGAGAGACAGACAGAGACGAACGTGTCGACGTATTACGTGGATCAGTGCAGGACGAAGACGAAAGTGGCCCCGGGGACCGAGACCGACGGGACCGAGGGGACCGAGGGGGCCACTGGCTGTTTCCACCGCCGTTCGGTCCCCGAGGTCGACAAGCTCCCCCAGCTCCACGATCTCTACGAGGTCCGCGCGAAAAGAGGACACTTTTTTCCCCCAAACTAGTTTCCCCGGAGAGCCTCAGCGCCCGGAGGGCAGGCAGCCCGAGCGCAGCCGAGTGCGTCGTCCCGGTGGGTTGCCTAGCTGCCGTCCGCAGGCGCGCTGCCGCCTGGGGGGGCCACGCGGTCGCGCGGGCAGTGTCGCGGTCGCGATCACTGCAGGTCCTCAGAGAGGCCTCGAATGGAACCAGCATGGCGTGCGTGGAAGGAACCCTTGGGTCGCCCTTTGAACGTGGACGCCACTGGTCATGTTGGCTGCTGTGCTCACAGTGTGCCGTGCCACGCGCTCGCCGCCTGCAACAACCAGCTTACATTGTAGGTGTAACCGGGAGTGCACGCGCAGTCCGGGGTGGCATCGCACCGTCGCCCTGCCGCCTTGCCTCCTCGCCTCCGCATCAGGATGTTTACACGCAGCCGGCGAAAGTGGCGATGACGCGCCTTATTGGCTGTCACCAAGCCCTGGCCTGCCCTTTCCTGCTGCCTGACGCACAGTGGGCCAGAAGACCGGTGGAGGCGGCCAAAACTCTAGACGCGTTTCGAGCTCCAGAGTCGCTAAAGAGGACCCAAACCGAACGTGTGACCCCACCAATGGATTCCTCGTTCGGAGAGCAATCCATTGGTGGGGTCACACGTTTGGTTCGAGTTCCGTTCAGCGACTCTGGAGCTCAAAACGCGTCTAGAGTTTTGGCCGCCTGCACCGGTCTTCTGGCCCACTGTGTGACGGGGGCCTGCCTGGCTTCTTGCCTCGCCGCCCCCTGGAAGCGCCGCAGCGACGCACCACGCCACTGCTAAGCGGCGCATTGTTCCAAATAAAATTGGCGAGACGGGTTGCGCCACGCCGTCGGCGTGCATTTGGTTTTGCAGGCGGCGGCGTCGAGGCGTCGCGGCGTCGCGCGTCGCGCTGTCACTCGGACGTGCGGGCGCGCGGATCATCAGAATGCACGCCGGGGGACGCGCATTGCCGCATTGCCGCATTGCCAACTTGGGTGCTTTACACAATCGGTTGGCAGCGCTGCAGCGACCGGCGAAGAGGCAATGGACTGCTTCACACACCGACCGGGGACCGGAGGCACAGGCACGCAGTGCCACGCACACGGACACGCGCGCTCGCACACACACAGGCGGCCAGTAGCGGCGGGCTCCCCGCCGCGCCATACACGCCACACTAGCACGGGCAGGGCTGGGCCGGCCGGCTGGCTGGGTTGGCGCAGGCAGCGTAGGACGGGGCGAGTCTCACGCGACGCGCGGCGGCGCGGCAGCGCGGCACTCAGGTCGTCGTGCTAGAACGGGTGTCGCAGCGTCGCAGCCGGCAACGCTATACTCGTGTTTCGGGCCTTTGTTCGGTAGACAGACCGCTGGAAGCGGCTGGAAGACGGTCGGGAGGCGAGTGCCCATTGATTGGAGTCGACCGACGGCCACTTATCCAACGACAGGCTGGCTCGCGTGCCGGTGGCGGTGGCGGTGGCCGCCGGGCGCCGTGGCGTACTCCATGATGCTGCTTGCGAGGTGATTAGCAGTGGTGGCGTCAGCGGCAGCAGCGTGGCTTATGCAGGAGCCACCCCACCCCACCTCACGTGGTTCTCCATTCATGGGACGGGGGCACACGGCGCTGCCACCGCGCCCCGCCCCACCCCACCCCGCCCCGCCCCGCCCCGAGCCCGGCCGAGCGGACGGCTTTACGCGCTCGTTTCGGTTCGCAGGCCGCGCCGGCCGCGCCGGCCGCTCCGCCGGGGGTTTCCATTGAACTTCCACTCCACCGCGCGCCGGAACACTCGTCTTTCTCATCGAATCGCTCTGGCGGCTCGTGTGTGTGTGAGACCCCCTCTTTCTCTCTGTCCGGCGGCCAGACTGACTCCTGGGAGCCGGATCATGGGGCGGGCCGCGCCCGTCCGCGTCGTCCACGTGGCCAGGACGGAGACGAGGGGCCGAGGGCTGTGATGCGTTGTCTGATCCGCGAGTGGCGCCACGCCCCTGCCTCCGCCACTGCCCTGTGCCCCGTGGCCCCCTGGCATTAAGGCGATGACAGAGGTGCGAACTGCGCCGCGACGCGCTCCCTCAACGCGGCCATAAAGTAGGCGCGAGGCGGCGCGACGCGACGCGAGGCCCTACCCGCTGCCCCCGCGATGACGGAGTGGACTCGACGCTCGGCCCATTGCGGTGGCTGCCGGTGGCCCACAGCACGTCCCGGATCGGATCGCAGTGACGTCACGCGCCAATCACGGATCGCCACTGCCAAGGGAGAAAGGGAGCAGTGCGGTCATGTCTCCCACGTGGTGCTCCAGCGTTAATCGCGCGCCGAACGCGCGCGGCGCGGTGCCCTTGAAACGCGCCCCTCGGCGGCGGGGCCGTAGGCCGAGGGCCTCATCACGTTGGCCGCGCTGATCCCACGACGCGGTGCCCCTTACATAAGGGCGGGCGCTGTCTCCGCGCATGCGCGCCGTCCTCAGCTCGGCGCCGGCCGTGTGCCAGACGGAGCGCGCCTCGCCCAGCTTCGCCTCTATGACACTCGCCATCTTGTCGCGACACTCGGTGGCGACAGCGTCGCCGTGGTCGCGCCCAGGGCCTCGTTTGCCGGGAGCAGCACCGGCGGCCCCTGCGTCTCGTCCGCCGGCCGGGCCGGCCGTCCTCGCGTAACGCCCGAAGTAGCCCATCCGCGTGGCCCCACCGCGGACCGCGAGACATTCATTAATTTTACTTTTCGTGCTATACTACGGACTACCCGACTGCCGACGTCCGGATGTTGTACTGCACCGCGCGGCACTGTCGGTACAGTCGGCACAGCAGCTGTACGTCGGCGTTGGGCAATACGCCTCTCCAGCAGGATATCACTGCGAAACACCCAAGAAGAAATTTCGGCAAGGCCTGTACTCCTTGGGCGATAATGAGCCGTTCTCTCGCGTAGTTGCCGGCGTTTTCCCGCTGTGCATGCAATGACACCGAGGCCAGGCCCTCCAGGCCCGCCAGGCCCCTTCCTGGAGCCTTGATGAGTGTTTATTTATCCGTTCTGCGATCTGCTGCTCCCCGCAGAGCGAGTCTAGCGAGCCGCAGAGGGTCCCCGCGAGGGCCCCGCGAGGGGTCTCTAGGTCTTTGTACGCCGGCCGCCCGGCGCCGCCACGACCCGCCTGGAGACCCAGAGACCCGCCGCGCCGCTTAGGCCCCTCACGATTGCACGGCGGTGACCCGCGCCGCGGCGGAGAGGCATAGAGCGCGAGGATAGAGCGCGAGGATAGAGCGCGAGGGAGTCGCGGCCCGCGGGGACGTGCGAGGGGATAGAGATAGAGGGGCTGCTTCCGAGCCGGCTAGTCGCGGTGGGGCCGGGCCGCGGTGGGCCCACAGCAAGTACCGCTACGGCGCGCTGGGGACTCGGGGGCGCCGTGGCGCCGGGGGGCCCACCTGCGCTCTGACCCCTGCTTTGCAACGAGTCTCCCGGTTGGCTCACCAGCTCCTTGGCCTTCTCGGCCTTCTTGGCCTATACTCGGAGCGCCAATTACCGGAAAACGAAACGAAACCTCTCGTCGGTGCAGCTCGCCCCTCGGCGCGGCCCTCGGCTCGTCGCGTTTCCACACACTACACTGTAGCAGGCGCGGCGTGGCGGCGGCGCGGCGCTCCGGAAGGATTCCGCGGGTCAGGAATAGGGCCGAAACGGCCATGCCAGCCACGGCGAGCTGCCGAAGCGTTTCGACACAAGGGCCGGCCGGAGCCAGAGCCCAGCGGCCCAGCACTGCGCAGCACGCGGCGCGGTGTCTGGGAAAATCGTGCGCACTTATCTAACGAACGGCCTTTTTCTTTTTTCGGGCTGTGAATTTATGGAAGCGCAGCGCGGCTCCAGCGGCTAGCACGCCAAGACCACCGTGGGCGCGCAGCGCGCGGAGTGGTGCGCTAACGAAGACGAACGCCAACACGTTACTGCGCCTTCGTTAGGGCCAGGCCACGCCGGCAGCCGCGCCGGGCGCGCAGCGCAGGCAGTCCTGCGTGGAGACTTGGACGCACGACGGGCACGACGGACTCGGCCTCGCCGCGGCAGCCACGCGGCCACCCCTGCGCCGACGAGCAGAGCACCGAGCCGGACCGCGCAGTCCGGACCTACTCACAGCACCACGCTGAGTTAAGCCCAGGCAAGGTTAGGTCCACGATGTGCTTACCGAGCGCGCGCCGAAGCCGGTGGGCGGTCAGAGAGGGCCCTCGGACGCTGAGGAGTACTCCAGTGGCACCGACACAAACACTAACACACTGTCACACACACGCGCGCACGCACACACGCACTGACGTGGTCCTCGAGTCCGTGCTGGCCGTAGGGTGCCGGTGGTGCCGCCGCGGCCGCCGTTGCCTGCCGACTGGACGGAGCAGGAGGGCCGCCCCGCCGTCCCGCCGCGTGGAGCGTGGAGCCCCAGACAGCCCCGGTGCCCCTCGGCCGGCCGCGCCGTGCCGCCGTGCCGCCGTGCCCCGCAGCCGTGTGCCTGGGCCGGCCTGGGCCGTGAGCCGCCTGAGCCGCCTGAGCCTCGCGTGGGGCGGCGGGCGGCAGGCAGGGCCGGGGGGCAGGGCCCCAACGCACGACGCGACCACCGCGACATCGGTACGTCCTCCGCCACCCCCGCAGTCATGGCGACGTGCACACCGAAGAGGAGCCTTCATGATTGCATTTGGAGCGCGCGAGCTAGAATGTGTGCATTAGGTAAGACAACGCACGGCTCAACAACGCGGCCGCGGCATGGCCAGGCACGCCATCTCCGGCAGAAGATCGCCAACAAAACGCACCTGGCTGGTGCATCCACTTTCCCGTGTTTTTCCATCACCGCCAGTAGTCTGAGTCCGGGCGAGTTGTCTCGTCGCTCTGTCTCCGTCGCCCTCCCGGGGCGTTCCGTATCGGTGCGAGAGGGACAGAGCGCCGCCACGTCTCTTCGCACGCACCCGGCCGAGTGCGGTCCCCGAATATGAGTGGCAGCATCCGGAGACGGCCTAGCCTAGCCGGCCGTGATTACCGCCATTACCGCGAAGCGGCGGGGCAGGGCGAGGCAGTCTGATAGCGCCTGGCTTCGCCTGGCCCTGCCCGCCCTGCAGTCGTTTTCGTCGCTCTGTCTCTCTCGCACCGAGACGGCACGCCCAATGAGTGCGAGAGAGACAGAGCGCCGCAATCGGCTTTCGGAATCAGTCTGGCGGCCAGCCCTGCGTGGCGCTGCGGGCCGCCCCGCGCAGTTTGGCGCGCCAACCGCAACACAAGTATTACCTCCCTCCCCGCGCGGCCCGCGCCCTGGACCGCGGGGACGCGGCGACCGCAGGGAGCGATACCGTGCGTATGTACACTGTACACACACGGCCGACACGTCACCCGGCGAGCCGGTGACCGCATCCACGTCACCTGCGGCTGCCTGGCTGCCTCTGCCTAGTGCCGGCGGCCAAAGGGCAGCGCGGGGCCAGCAGAGCCAGAGCCAGGGCAGAGCCCACCGCGCTGGGATAACTCACTTACAGCGGCTTAGCGCCGGCGGCGACGGCGACCGCGTCAAGATAAACGCCGTGCCCCGTCTGGACTCGAACCCTGGTCCCTCCCTGGACCGCCGCCGTCGCTGGTTGGTAAGCCGCGGAGCATCGGTATCGGGAGATTGGAATAGGCCAGGTCGAGACACTGTCGTAGTTGACCCTTATAATTGCGGCATTTCGCAGACCAGTCCCGCGCTGCGCGTGCCGCCCCGCCCACCCCCGCCCCACCCCCGCCCCACCCCCGCCCCACCCCCGCCCCACCCCCGCCCCACCCCCGCCCCACCCCCGCCCCACCCCCGCCCAGCCCCGATTCCGGCGTCGATAGCCCGGCCGTGTTTCCCCGTTAGTTAAATCGAAGCCACGCGCCGCGCCTCATAACACGCTAACGTTGCCGTGCCGAGCCTCGCGGACTCTGTAAAACAAAAGGGGTTCGGCAGCCCCGCCAGCCCCGCCAGCCCCGCCAGTCATTGTTCGTCCGCAAGGCCTTGATTCGCTCGCGCCCATCGACGCCGCCATTGCCGTCATTGTCTCCGTCACACGGTGCTTATGCCAATTGCAGCGGTGACAGGAGAAAGAAGTCACCCGTGCTGCCCGCCCGCCCGAGCTGGCAGCCGCGGGCAGCCGGTGCGGTACTGCAGACTGATTCCGAGAGTCGTTTTCGTCGCTGTGTCTCTCGCGGCCGCACTCGCGGGGCGTTCAGTATGGGAGCGAGAGAGACAGAGCGACGACTCTCGGAATCAGTCTGCTGCAGTCTGGCCTGGTGGCGTGGCCTACCCGCCAGGCGTGAAGGTTTGCGGCGCGTCGCCAACCCCCAACCCCGAGACCCCGGTCCACAGTGGGCCAGAAGACCGGCGGAGGCGGCCAAAACTCTAGACGCGTTTTGAGCTCCAGAGTCGCAAAACAGGACGCGAACGAAACGTGTGACCCCACCAATGGGTTCCTCGTTCGGCGAGCAGTCCATTGGTGGGGTCACACGTTCGGTTCGAGTCCCATATAGTGACTCTGGAGCTCAAAACGCGTCTAGAGTTTTGGCCGCCGTGCCGGCCTTCTGGCCCACTGTGCGGTCTCCGCTTTTCCACGCTCGCGGCAAAAGTTGCACTACGCGGTGCGCGGTGAAGCAGGTATCGGCCGATCGGCCCATCGGCGCGGAGCTGAAATCGACGTCCCCCATGCGCGCAATCCAATACACACTACTTAGAAAAGGTAATGTTAGGTAACGACAACAACGGCGACTGCAACTACAACGACTTCGACGGCGTCCTTCCGTCCACCCCGTTCGATGGCGACACTGTGGCGCTACGCCAGGCCACGCCGGGCCACGCCGCACCGGGCCGTAGGCCGCTGCGCTGTGACACGAGCAGACGCGGGGGAAGGGGCATTATCCATTGACAGGTGACGCGGCGCCGTGTGCAGCGCGCGCGCGCGTGTGTGTGTGTCTGTCTGTCTGTGTGCGTGTGGATGCGTATGTAGCACACGTGCTGGCCATGCCTTCGGTCGCCTTCCCCTCCAACCTTATCCTCTCTCTCCTCATCGGTCGAGCCGCGTCGCGCGTCGCGCCGGCTCGGTAGCGAAAGTGTTTGTTGACTGCGGGGCTCTGCTTCTGAGTTTGGCTTTCAAGTACGCGGTTGGCCGGGTAGCAATGTGCGAGTTTTAAATTGTTTTCGTCCCCCTAGAGGCGATTTATTTCGATGTCACACCCCGCCTCCATTGCGTCACGTAAAGAGGGCTGGCGCTGTTGTCCATTTTCGTATCCGGCTTCTGGGAATCTTTGTCGTGGGTCCACACAATCGCTGCTACCAGCTTCCATCTTCTGGCGCTCATGGATCAGATCGCCTCTCGGCCACTCTTGACCGCCTCGGCCGTGGAGAGTATGGGAGGGGTGGGGATCGGAGAGTGGGGAGTGGGGAGCGAGGGTTGGGCGACGCCCGAGTCGGCCGAATCGGCGAGGCGAGCACATTCGGGAGCGACGAGCGACGCGACAGAGCGACTCGTTCTCGTTTTTCGTGCCCCGTCCAGTTACGTGTCTTTTCCGCCGGGAATGGCCGTTTTTCCGATCTGGATGTGGGAGAGGGGGGGGGGGGCGACTGCATGCCAATGGAGTAGACCGGATTAGGATCAAGCGCGCGCGTGTGTGTGCGTGTGTGCGTATACGTGCGTATGCGTGCGTGAGGGTGTACACGCGTGTCTGTGTGCGTGTTACGAAAGTTGTGACATTCCTCCATACTGCGACGTGCCTCGGCGGCGTCGCGGCGTCCGAGTCGCAAGTTCGGCGTGTTATATTTTTTATCGCCTCCATCGTAGGATCCGCGCGCTCAGCCGGTCAACCCGAGCAATTATCTGGAGGAACTGGGGGGGGGGAGGGGAGGGGGAACGCGACCGGACGTGGCGGGCCCCGAAATGTGGACCAATGCCCTCGCGCCTCGTCTTGTCCGACTCGGCTGCCTTTAATTCCAGGTCTTCGTGGGGTTATAGGGAAGAAAAGCACTGGGTAAGAAAAGTACCCCTTATGGAGCTGATATCATGACTTTGAGCAATCCCTCAACTATAGTTTATTTCAACTCAACGTGAAAATCTGAGGGTGAAATCAGATGTTGAGATGTGCGGTAGGCGGTAGGCCACAGGGGGTGTGCTTTTCTTACCCTGCGTGTTTCTTCCCCAAGTCACCTTTAGTCCGCTGGCCTCAGGTGGGCCGCTCTTGAAGCTTGAAGGTCCTTACATTGTAGCACCCAAACTTATTGACCAGAACCCCGAAACCAAGAAGCCAAGCCTGAGCGAGCCACGCAGGCAAGCAGCCTTCCCGGGAAAGTGCCGTAAAGCCCTGAGATGTTTTCCTCGTTTCCAACGTGTTTCCAACAATGCGTCACCGGCTGCATTCTTCTTTCTTCTGCCCCGCCGGACGGGAATGAATGGGCGTGTTTAACAATTTGACAGCCGCAGTGGCGCGCACACACGCACACACACACGCACTCACGCAGCCAGCCGTGTGCGTTGCCGCGCCGTAAACACGCGCGAGTCGGCCCGTGTAATGGAGCGTCAGCGGGCTGATTCGCTGTCTCTCTCGCACCCCTGCGGCGCGTTGCGTGAGTGCGAGGGAGCCAGCGAGACGCCGGGTGGGCCGGGCCGGGGCACAGTGGGCCAGAAGACCGGTGGAGCGGCCAAAACTCTAGACGCGTTTCGAGCTCCAGAGTCGCTAAATAGGCCTCAAACTGAACCTGTGACCCCACCAATGGATTGCTCTCCGAACGAGGAATCCATTGGTGGGGTCACACGTTCGGTTCGAGTCCCATTTAGCGACTCTGGAGCTCAAAACGCGTCTAGAGTTTTGGCCGCCTCCACCGGTCTTCTGGCCCACTGTGCGGGGCCGGGCCGGGGCACTCGGGGGCACTGCTTGGGCTGGGCGGCTACTCCTGCTGTTCCTCGTCGTTCCACGGCGCTGGCGGACACCTGCTGGATGGAGTGGAATGGATAGCGTGTTGTCCCGCTCACTTGACGCGAAGCAACGCGGAGGAACAAATCGTGACGCAACGGCCGGTAACCATGGCAACCGCGTCGCCGGCGGTGCGTCGCCGCCGCCATCGTCGTCCTCCTGGGCGACATGAGCATTACGAGACGTGACTGCAGATAAATAGGAAGAACTTCCAAAGTCCCGAAGCCCGGCGAGCTTGCCGCCGAGGTGCCCAGAGGGTCCAGCGCGAAGCGCGAAGCCGGCGAGGGCCCCGGGAAAACAATGGCGGACAAACACACCGCGCGGCGCGGCGCGGTGCGGCAGTGTGGCGGTTACGTCAAGGCGTCAAGACGCCCTCGCCGAGCCCAGCCCCGCGCCCCGCGCCCAGGGAAGCCCTCCGGGGACGGACAGCTCCGGTCTGGAGTCTGGTCTGGCCTGGTCTGGCCGCGCCGGATCGACGCGTCGGAGGCCGTGCGCCAGGACGCCAGGACGCCGGGCCGCCACGGCCAAGGCCTTGGTAGTACTGGTGGGAAGCGGGGAAGGAAATCGGCAGCACCGCTGCAGTGTCAACAACAAAGGCACGGCTCAATTATCGCACTCGGCGACCTGGCTGCGCACTGCATGGCCCACATCGCCGAGGGCTGGCCCAGTGGGCTGGCCAATCAGAGGAGAGGGAAATGCCAACGCGGGGAGTCACGGCTCTCTCCTTCATTATGCCGCGAACCGCGTGCGTGCTGCGTGCCCGCCTTTTTGCCCTTGTTGTTGCTGTTTTTGTTTCTCTCGATCTGCAGTTCATTATCACGCCGTTTCGGCGGGGCGGGGCGGGGGGGGGGGGGGGCGTGCCCTCGCCAGCCGGACATCCTCCTCAACTCGGAGCTCGACGCCAAGCTCGACGCCGGCGGCTAGTGCCCCGAATTAAACCGCGTTTCCTGCCGTTTGCACGAACACTATGGCATTAAAAGAAGATCGCCGTTTGGGCGAAACATGAAACATGGCAACAAAATTTATTTAAAACATTCCATATGTCTTTTCAACTTTGATCTCAACTATATGAACATGAATCTTTTCTTTAATACAGGGTGTCGATGGTTTCCTTGAATTTTATGAATGAAGTAATGACGGGCAAGGAGACTCATCTTGTCTTGATGGTGGGATTGCACTTCCACTCGATCCCGAAACGAGTCGCTACGGCAGGTGTTACAGAGTAGTGGCAATCCCTTACAGCGCGGCGCTCTTAACACTAATGACGACACTAAGGCACACACATGGCACACTCGAAGATGACTAGCTGGAAGCACTTGACATGCAATCATACATATTTACAATGTACAAATGAGCAGAGTGCGCAAACACAGGGACCGCATTGTTCTGGTCAACGTGTCACAGGCCTCGTCACAGACTTCGTCACGGCCGCGTCCGCGCGACACGCCAGAACGCTCGCGTGACGGTTTCGTGACACATCGCCCACGCGACATACTTTTTTTCTTTCTTTCAGCGGGGCGGGAACGCACTGTGCCACATATGCTTGCGCGCGGCCGTTCGTTGGTTCACTGGGATTTCGTGCCGGCCTGGCGGTTGGCGGTGGCGGCCTGACGGCGGCCTGCAGGGCGCGGCACGCGTCGTCGGCGACCTCGTTCGGCTCCCGGTGGAGCACGAGGAGGCCGCCAGTTGGTCAGTTCATGGCAGTCTTTGGTTCCTTCACATGGCGGTGGACGCCATGGCGGGGCCCTTGACGGCCTTGATGTCGTCCTCGGGGTCCTCGACGTGGCCCGGCGGCTTCCCGTGGGGGTCGTCCCACCATTGCCGCTCTCCCGAGCCCCAGATGATGAAGGCAACGTTGGTGATGCCCATGATGGCGAAGTTGATGATGAACACCGTCTGCCACTCCGACATCAAACCCTGAAACAGGAGCCATTTTGTTATTCAGCAGTTTCGGCGCGTTTGTTGGCGTGTCCGTGACGACGGCACTCACGTTGGGGGCGATGAGCCCGATGGCGTAGGGCGCCGCGACGCCGGCCAGCGCCCCGGTGCCGTTCATGAGGGCGCCGATGGTGCCGGCGTGCCGCGGACTCAGGTCCAGCGCGTTGACGCGCATGCCCGGGTAGAAGGCGCCCATGGTGGTCATGCCGATACAGAACAGCGCCACCACGAAGTACTTGTTGCAGCCCGCGTACGACGCCCACAGCAGGAAGGCGCCGGGGCCCACCGAGCCTGCGGGGACAGAGAGCGCCGCGGTCACCAGGGCCGAATCTACCAGTGCCTCCAACTCGGAAGACAGTCCTCACCGATGGTGGTGAAAATTTTCCTCAGCAGTGTGTTGGAGATGACCCGCTTGCTGGTGATCCAGTCTCCGGTCGCGCTCAGCACCATGGAGGAGATCCACATGCAGATGAAGGGGAGCGCGGACATGGTGCCGTTCTGCAGCAAACGAGGACAACGTCAAGATCCACATCGGCCACGGCGCGGGACACCCTCCCCGCCCGCAGGGAGGCACAGTTACTCACGCTGGAGATCTTGAAGTGCTGCACGTCGGACATGTACTTGGGCAAGTCGGTGACCATGGTGTAGAAGCCCCAGTCGTGGCCGACCTCGGTGGTGATGAGGGCCAGGACGGGCATGGAGGTCAGGATGGACTTCCAGGGGGTCTTGACGTGCTGCGGACCCAAACCGCGCCTCGTTACGACCCATAGAACACAGCGTAATTCCAGTGAAAGGGACTCAACGAGTTACAAAAAAAAACTTGCCTCCTTCTCGTTATCCTGCTCCTTGAGGCCCGTCACGTTGTCGTTCAGGTACTTGAGCTCCTTGTCGCCGATGAAGGGGTGCTGGTTGGGGTCTGAGTAGCACAGGAAGCACCAGAAGAACCACCTGCCACAAATTCCTGCCATTAGTCTCAGCCGGTCTCAGCCTATTTAGCAACACTGCCGTTCCCGCGGGAATTGCAACGCTGACTTTTCTGTATTTTGCAACACAAAGCTAAATGCAAAGCTTTGCAATAAAAGAACTTCAAAAGGCTATTTTATCGCATGAGTAAAATTGACTACCGCAAACTATTGCAATTAATAAGTGATTGCACCCCAGGGTGCTATGAATCGTGGGATCGCAAAAATTTGTTGTGTTGCAAAATGGCTGTCAGTGAACCAGCGCGACCGCAACGTGGGGGCGGGGCGTGGCCAGTGCCCCGGCCACCGCGCTGCCAACGCCGGCTAGCCCAGCTCAGGTCGCGGGGACCGTTGGCGAAAAAACGGGCATTGCTTACCAGGCGAGGCCCAGGCCGCCGTACACGTAGAAGGTCGTCTCCCACACGAACCAGTCCAGGAAGAAGCCCGACAGCGCGTTGCCCACCAGTGTGCCCACCTGCGGCCCGGCCAGCACGATGGTCCCCATCAAGCTGCGCTCTCGCTCGGGGGCCCACTTGGCCAGCAGCACGAAGATGGCCGGGAAGGTGACGCCCTGGAACATGCAGCACGCGCAGCACGCGCCACGAGTTAGCCAGGCCGATGAGGCATCAGGCAACCCAGCCCAGCTGCGCCCGCGCCGGGCAGGCAGGCCACCCGTCTCACACGTGGCCAGGCGGCGGCGATACTCCTCGCCGCGGGCCGGGACCGCCGCGGGGAGTATCGCCGGGGAATGCCCACGGCGCGGGCGCGGGGTAGCGCCGCCACAACGACGCAACAGACTGTCTCGCAAAGGCGTTTCCGTCGCTCTGTCTCTCTCCCACCTTTACGGGGCGCCGCATGAGTGCGAGAGAGACAGCGACGGAAACGACGCTGTGGAACCAGGGGCACCCACCTCGCCCAGCCCCATGAGGATGCGCACGATGACGGCGCCGGCCACGTCGCCGAGCTTGCAGGCCGCGGGCGTGAGGAAGGTGCAGATGGCCGTGGCCAGGATGCCGAGGCCCAGGGTGTGCTTGCCGCCGTACCGGTCGGCGATCTGGCCGCCGGGGATGTGCGTGAAGATGTAGCCGATGTAGAAGGCGCCCAGGATGAGCCCCTGTTGCTCCGAGTCCCAGTTGAACGGGTACTCCTGCGGAACACCAAGACAGCCGTCAAGTACTAGCCAGGGGAAGGCCTTCGGCCTCGATGCTGAGCTGGATTCTGCTGGAGATGGAAATGCATTTTCATCAGTAGTAAATTTGGATGTGTTTATTTTGAAAACGAGCCTCTTTTCTTTTCGGGGGGGGGGGGGGGGGTGATAGCCAGGAAGTATGCTTTTGCGCGAAGGATTGTGATTCCGCAATGGTTGGTTTCTCCTTGAATCGACGGAAGGCTATTTAATAATCTAAAACTAAATGTTCCAACCAATTCTAACCTAACCTAACGGGCTCGTGACAGATCTTACTCTACCCGTGACAGATCTTACCCTACTCTCGACAGATCTTATTCTCAAACTAAATGGTCCAACCAATCCTAACCTAACCTAACGGGCTCGTGACAGATCTTACTCTACTCGTGACAGATCTTACCCTACTCTCGACCGATCTTATTCTCAAACTAAATGTTCCAACCAATCCTAACCTAACCTAACGGGCACGTGACAGTTCTTACTCTACCCGTGACAGGATCTTACCCTACTCTCGACAGATCTTATTCTCAAACTAAATGGTCCAACCAATCCTAACCTAACCTAACGGGCTCGTGACAGATCTTTCTCTACTCGTGACAGATCTTTCCCTACTCTCGACCGATCTTATTCTCAAACTAAATGGCAGCTTGGCGTACGACTATGGAGCTTGGACTATTGAGCTTGGACTATTGAGCTTGGACTATAGAATATGGACTATGGAGCTTAGACTATGGAGCTTGGACTATGGAGCTTGGACTATAGAGCTTGGACTATAGAGCTTGGACTATAGAGCTTGGACTATGGAGCTTCGACTATGTATACGCATATGAATATAGTAAAAATAAACAGAGGAAGATACCTCTTGTAAACTAAAGGTATCGGGGGGGGGGGTCGGACAAATGAGCTATTCAAAATCCCAAACAGGGTGCTTCGCTTCGCTCAGCAAAAACTTTCTGACTTTCTGCTTTACACTAGACTCCAAGCATACACGTGACTTTACCTTCTGGACGGCACTGCCCGAGGAGTCGGAGCCGGCGGCCGGAGGGTCGAAGGGACAGGAGTCATCGCTGGTCTTGTTCTCGCCGCCGGGCTGGCTGGGCGGTGCCGTCATCTGGGTGATGGCCACGTTGAGGCAGGCGCGCATCGTGAAGGCGTTGATCATGCCCAGCATGCCCATCACCACCAACACGTACCGCTGCCGCATCCATTCTGCAAACAGCGCCGAAAGCAAGGGACGTTTTAGGGCGCGGTTCGACAGGGCGCAGTGGGCCAGAAGACCGGTGGTGGTCAAAATCCCGGACGCGTTTTGAGCTCCAGAGTCGCTTAATGGTTCTCGAATCGAACGTGTGACCCCACCAATGGATTGCTCTCCGAACGAGGAATCCATTGGTAGGGTCACTCGTTCGCTTCGAGTCCTGTTCGGCGACTCGGAGCTCAAAACGCGTCTAGAGTTTTGGCCGCGCTGCGCCGGTCTTCTGGCCCACTGTGCGCCACGCCGGACGCATGAGGACACAGGACAAGCCGCCGAACTGACCCACTTAAGGGAAAGCGCGAGCCCTGCCGAGGCCCTTCCAGGATCGCTTTCCGATCACTGCTTTCTCCTCGTACTCTTTTCCCCTCGCCTGTCCATCTTTCGATTGCGTCGTGAAATTCAATGGGTCAGTCGGTGGCTCGGAGACAGCGCGCTCAGACACACACAAACACACACACACTCACACACACGCCCGCTATGGAGTCGAGGACTTAAAAAGTTTCCGTTCCGTCTGTTTGCATCCGCCGTCGCAGGGGCAAAACAAACAATCATAAAAACGTTCTGTACTTCTGGTCTTTACCTTCGGCACCTTCGAGAAAGCGATCGGTTCTCCCTCTTTTTTCCGCCTGGCGCCCAAAGAAAATAGTATTATGATCAATTAGCCTTATCAATGCCGGCCATGTTATCAGCAGCGCGGCGAGTGTTCCCAGTGTAGCGCAGCATAGCGGCACCACCTGGCGCAGGCCAGGCAGGCCGCCGAGCCAACCCTCGGCCACGCCACGTCACGCCACGCCATGTAGCGGGCTATCAGCCATTGGCCACCGGCCGGAATCATAATCATCGTCCGGGGACCTGCCGCCGCGCCCCGCCCCGCCGCGCCCCGCCCCGCCCCACCCCGCCCACACCCCGCCCCACCCCGCCCCGCCCCGCCCCGCCCCGCCCCGCCGCGCCGCCGCGCCCCGCCGTGCTGGCGCGCGACATTACGACTTCTCTTCTCCCGGCGCCTCCAGAAGAAGACGGCGAGGTCGGTGTCGGTCCGGTCGCCACGCGACAAACACAACACCACGACTACACTGCCGGCCTGGTGGCCTGGTGGCCCGGCCCGGTCACAACAAATAACGGAGGGGCCTTGTCTTCCATGTGGTGGCGGGGCCCGGCCGTGCTGCAGCCCGTTACGCGCGCAAGCAGCAGTGCTCTCCCTCTCTCTCGCACACATGGGGCGTGCCGCAGGGGTGCGAGAGAGAGAGAAAGAGAGAGAGAGAGAGAGAGAGAGAGAGAGAGAGAGAGAGAGAGAGAGAGAGAGAGAGAGAGAGAGAGAGGAAGCAGCAGCCCGACGTCCCGGCCATCCTCTTCGTCTCCTCGTCCTTGAGGTTCGCACCGATGCACACTCGCGGGTGGGATGTGAGTCGAGGCCGGCCGGTACGTACAGTGTATACTGCGACGCCCTGCACGTCCTGCGAGTGTGGTGCATGAGTCGTCTTGAGAAACCGATGACCCCCTGCCGGCGCGGCGGTCGGGGCGGTGCGATGCGGTCTCGGACGACACGGCGGCACCACCCCGACGCAGCCACGCACACCGAGTCACGCTGGAGGTCGACGGCCTTTGCTCGTCGCAAAACCAGTTATTTGCAAACAATAAAAATATCTCGTCAACTGACAGAAGGGCGCGGAGGAAGGCTTTCGCTCGCGGGGCGTCGCAGTTCGGACATCACATCACACCTTGGAGGCCCGCCTCACAGTGGAGCGGCACGGGTTTCGTGTCGTGCCGCGAAAACGTCGCGCTGCCGCGACAGTGCAATGGAACAGTGTGGCGGCGTGGCCTTGAACTTCCGGAGCCGTACGACCTTGGCTCGGCCGGCCACGCCGCCATGCCCAGCGCGGCCACCTAGCGCGGCCAGGGCGGCCAGGGCACTGGCCGGGGCCCTGCGATTCGGCCGCACCGGGTCAGCTGGGCCGGCCGGGCCGCGCCCACTGCAGCAGGCTGATGCAGACGGAGCGCCGCTTCCGTCGCCGTCTCTCTCACACTCGTGGGGTGGCCCGCGCTAGATAGAGACAGAGCGACGTAAATCTGTAGCGGTGCGAACAATCAAGCGGATCCGCGGGTCATGCCGAGCGAGATCTAAACCATGAAAGGGCGAGCTTATCCGAGGCTGACTCTCTGACGACTGCCATTAACTACCTGAGCTTTCCTTCTCAGATTACAGGGGGCGCGTGCGCAGATAGATAATTGAATGACACCACTTTGCTGCATCACTTTTTGGCACTCTTCTTTTTGCATCGTCATTTACAACACTCCGTAGGTCCTTTTCTGCCCTTCGCGAAAACCCGTGTTTCCCCGCTCAACGCGCGCGCGTGAACGCGAGACGGGCTAGGCCGGGTCCAAGCAAGCTGCCGCCTCTCTGAGCCCCAACGAAGACCAACGAGAACTGGAACGCCTCCTGGCAATAGTCTCGATTCCGCGTCTAGCGTCTCGTGGACCAGCCTAAGCGCAATTAAGGATCAGCAGACCTCGGCGCTAATCTAGCAGAGCGAGCAGAGTGTGCCCGTCGCCGTCTTTCGCTATCAGCTCCGCGCCTCGCCTCGCCCGGCGCCGCGCTCGCCGAGGGTTTAGGGCATTTAAGGCTGCCGTTGGGGTTTGGGGCCCAAACGGAATGCAATCAAAACAACGTCGGTGCAGACGCTGCATACTCGTTTTTCCTGGCACATGACCAAGCCTCGCGATGAAGCCGACGCTCCGCGCTAGGAGACAAAATGCGCACTCTGGAAACTATGGTGTCGATCCGATTTCCATCGCGAACTCCGCCCAGTTCCACCCACCTTCGCCGCACGGGCTCACTGTGAAAGTTTGTCAAAACCACCAACCACCAACGCTAACAGTTCTAGTTCTGTTGACTGGAGCGTACTTGCGGTAATATTAGTACTGAGGGAATTTCGGTTATAGGCTGTTTTGGCAGTGCCCTGACGCAGGGCAACACACGGCAATGCAGGGCCATACGGGCGCGATGAGGTGCTAATCCACGCCGCGCCCCGCGGGACGCAGCCATGCCTGGGGCCCTTTGGCACGCGCCGCTGACGTTTCTTTTGATTCACAGCACGGCGGCCAGAGTCAAGTAGCATTTGATTGGGTCACTCGAGAGGCCGTATCAAAGTCATTGGTTCGAGCGGTCGATTGAGTCGAGAACAAAGTCGGCCCTCGGAAGGTGTGGGTCGAAGGTGTGTACACTGTACGACTGCGGCTGCGGTGCACGTGCAGGTCCTCGCAACCACCATCTCTTCCTGCGCACAGTGGGCCAGAAGACCGGTGGAGGCGGCCAAAGTCCCGGGCGGGTTTTGAGCTCCAGAGTCGCTAGATTGGTCTCGAACCGAACGTGTGACCTCACCAATGGGTTGCTCGTCGAACAAGGAATCGATTGGTGGGGTCACACGCTCGGTTCGAGTCCTGTTTTGCTACTCTAGAGCTCAAAACGCGTTCATTCTTTTGGACGCCGGCATGGTCTTCGCGCGGCCGGCTGCGAAGGACTCCAGTCACGCCGAGCTGAGTCGCGTCACATGTTCGTCACATTTGTCATTTGGCACTGCACATCATTGCGCGCGTCGCAGTAAACGGTTCAAACGTTCCGGAGTCCGGCAAAATGGACAGAACGGCGACAGCTAAAGACGCAGCAGGGTACAGAACCACGGCAAAACACCTGAGACAATGGCGGGCGCATGTGTGTATGTGTGTGTGTGTGCGTGTGTGTGGACGCACGAGTGTGAGGAGGCGCGCATGTATGTGTGAATGGGAGGCTCGCGCCCATTCAGAGCTGTCACATTCTTCCTGGCCAGCCAGATCGTCCTTGAACAGCGCGCGTGAACACACTCACACTCACACATTCACCAAATAGCGTTTCTGAGTTTTCCGCCACTGCCTCTGAGCACTCACGTCAAAATGTTCCATTCGGTGACAACACACGTGTTGAGTACGGTTCGTCGTCTGCTGGCCGAGTGACCTAGTAAGGCCGAGAGCGCATCTGCGCTCCGACGGCCACGCCGAACGTCTCAACCTCGGTCACAGTGTGGTCACATCGAACCTATCCGCGCTCCCGGTGGACACGCTTTGACACAACGGCTGCCCCGGCTGGGATTGGTGGCTCCGCTAGGCAAGGGTGGCTAAGCTAGGACGCCGACCCCGCCAGGCCGCACCGCGCCGCGGTAGCGCTACTGCACAGGACAATCACAGCTCGTCCTCAGACGTCACTTTTCACTGGGTCGCCTCTGGTGCGGCCACTGCGCCACTGCCGGGGCCGTGTGGGAGGCCCCCGCGTGCCGCGTACCTGTTTTCAACACGGAAAGGCACTTGGCGAGAAACATGGTGTCGCAGTGCTGCGCCGGGTGCGCCCACCACCGCGCTGGCCGTGTTCACGTTCGCGGCGTTCGCGGCGAGCTTGGCGCGTTCCGGGTGCCGGTCGGTCGAGGCGCGCGGCGTGGGCGCGTGGTCGGCGTGTGCACCGGTAGCCGTCCCAGCGGGTACTCGCGCCAGCCCGCCAGGTAGCGCGGACACGCCGCGAGCCGCGGCAGCCACCAGCCGCGAGCCGCGGGGAGGGGGTGGGGCGCGGGGCGGCCGTCGTCCGTGCGTCCCTCCGTCCACTGGACACTAGACACCAAGACACTAAGACGAGGTTCGGCACGCCGTGGACAAAGCGGTTGACTGCTGCTGATCAGCAGCTTGTGGGTTCGAGTCTTAGTCACGGCAAAGGTTATTAGCTGTTTTCGTGTTTAAGAGGTCTGGGCGGGGCAGTTATTCGGGCCACAAAGGCGGGAAAACAAAGCGCAAAGCCGCAGCAGGGCGTGGCCGGCGTGGCTTGCGGGCGGCCGCCGACGGGGGCCGTCGTCGCAATCGTCGTCGCCAGGAGGGCGCGGCAGCGCGGCAGCGACGCGCTTGGCACCTCCACCGTAGGCGCCGCGCCGCGCCGGCCGTGCGCCGCCGACATAAACAAGTAGCCCGTCCAGGACGTCCAGGACGTCCAGGACACGCGGAGAGGAGAGCGCGCCCCGCTGCGTGGAGGTCGTCCTGCAGGCCAGCATGCCGGTCCTCGCGCAGGTCGTGCCCTCGGACGCCCAAAGGCCGGCGATTTATCACGCGAAATGTCACGCCGAGGCCGCCGAGGCCAACGAGGCCAACGAGGCCGCGTGCGTCGCGAACCTCTCCGCTCCGGCCGCCGAGTCGGCCAACGAACGCAGTGCGTGCTGGACGCGGTGGGGGCGCGGCGAGTACGTAGTAACCACGAATCTCCGAAAGTTTTATGTGATTGTGTTGACTATTTCACTGATCACCAACTACGTACACTGATTAACTCGAGTTGACCACCCCTTGGGACACTGCGGTCGCGGTGTCCGAGACCCCACACTCGTCTACGGACCTCGCCGCCCTTTCACTACAGGCGATAGACCCGGCCGCCGAGACAGTCTAGCCCAGTGGTTCTCAACCTTAGGGTCGCGACCCCAAGTGGGGTCGCGAAAAAATTTTAAGGGGTCGCGGCGAGGTAGCTGGGGTCGTGTTTTGGGCCGATTTTAAGCAGCCACTGCGTCTGATCCGAGGCGGGCATTTTGCTCCCTCAACGGGCAATTGGTCTTTGAACCTTCCTTTAGCATGCCTTTGTTACGGAGTGTGATTATCAGTCTAAGTTTGGGAGCAGTATTGTCTCAAAGTTTACCAAAACGGTCAGAAATGTCTTTGAAAAATCGTGTTTTGGGCCGATTTTAAGCAGCCACTGCGTCTGACCCGAGGCGGTATTTCGTCCTCCTTCAACGGGCAATTGGTCTTTGGACCTTCCTTTAGCATGCCTTTGTTACGGAGTGTGATTATCAGTCTTAGTTTGGGAGCAGTATTGTCTCAAAGTTGGCCGAAACGCTCAGAAATGTCTTTGAAAAACCGTTGTGACTGTTTTGGTCAACTTTGAGACAATACTGCTCCCAAACTAAGACTGATAATCGCATTCCGTAACAGAGGCATGCTAAAGGAAGGTCCAAAGAACAATTGCCCGTTGAGGGAGCAAAATGCCCGGCTCGGATCAGACGCAGTGGCTGCTTAAAATCGACCCAAAACATGATTTTTCAAAGACATTTCTGAGCGTTTTGGCCAACTTTGAGACAATACTGCCCCCAAACTAAGACTGATAATCGCACTCCGTAACAGAGGCATGCTAAAGGAAAGTCCAAAGACCAATTGCCCGTTGAGGGAGCAAAATGCCCGCCTCGGATCAGACGCAGTGGCATGCTAAAGAAGGGGTCCCGTGGGGTCGTGAAACTTTTCCTGGGGGTCGCGGAAATTTTTGGCTACAAATTTGGGGTCGCGAGCCGAGAAAGGTTGAGAACCGCTGGTCTAGCCGGTCCGGCAAGTGCAGGCGAGTGCTACTCACTTGCACCCAGGGTGGCCCGAAGCAATCCCATGCTGAATGACAGACGTCGATGTCTCGCCTCTGGCACGCGCCCCGCGACTGGCGGGTGCCGCTGCGCGCGCGCCGCGCACGCCCCCGCGAGGCGCCGGGCCGGGCCGGAAGCAGCACATGGAGGCCCCCAGCTCGCCGAGCACGCCGAGCATCACGCGGTCTCGTTGAGCGGCCTTTTGGCGTGGCGTGGCGTGGCGTGGCGTGGCGCCCCCACTTCCCTTCCCACGGCGAAATTCAGCCGGCGGCGCGTTAGCGCGTTAGCAACGCGAGTTTCGGTTTCCTTAGGTTGGCGCCGTTGGAAGGCCGGCCTTCGCTTCTCAACCAGGACGACGACGGCGCGTGATCGCGGAGGGGTGGCCAGGGCCGACGCCCGCCGTGCCCGCCGTGCCCGCCGGCTACCTGGGCGAGGCAGGGCCATGGCGCCGGGCTACGCCGGGCAGAGCGCAGACTCGCACAGCCTGGAGAGTCCCGTCCCGGCGGGCGGCAGCGCCCCTCGTTACCGCTACCCAGGGAGAACAGAAAAGGCCAAATGATGTCGACGTGACTTCAAAACGAGCGTTTGTTTGAGAAATTTCGGTCCGTTTTGGCGCCAAAATGGCATAATTTGATGCGATTTTGACCCGATTTGGACTACCTGTTCTCCTTGGGTAGCAGCCAGGCGACCGGACTGGCGTGGCACCCGCAACAATGCCCATGTTGGTTGTGAGACCTAAAACTACTCTCTTTTCAGTCGCTTCAGTCAGTCCTCGGGCCGGGCGTCGTCTCCAGAAGGCTTCGCCACTTGGTGTACTCACTGGGTCCGAACACGGCGGCCACGGGGGCGGCCAGGCAGTTCTTGGGCATCTCTCCGCTTCCGCTCACACCGCTGTTTCACTTTCGAGTGGCGCGGCCGGCATCGCCGGATCGCCGCCATCGCACCCATGCCGCCGCCCGCAATCGCTGCCCCTTTTGCCCTTCCCGTTTTCTGGCCCGTTGGTCGTTCATCACGCCCGCGCCGCCTCCTCCGCGGCCTCCTCCGCGGCCTCCTCCGCGACCTCAGCCTGGCCCTGGCCGGAGCGGCGCGCCTCCCGGCCTCCGCCTCTGGCTGGCCGGCCTCTGCCGCGGATTCGCCATGCACGGCGTCGACGTCGCCGTGGGCCGGCCGCCGCCACGCCGAGCCGGATCGAACCGGATGCGCCATGCCCCTTTTGCCGGCGGCCGCGCCCTGCCCTGCCCTGCCCTGCCCTGCCCGCCGTCCAGCAGCGTGGCGCCCGCAGGACGCTCCGGGACGGCGTCATCGTCGTCGGCGACCTGGCGGCAGCGGACAGCCGCCCGACTAATGCGCCCTTCAGCGCCTGTGAGGTAGGCCACCAGCCCGGGCCGCAACACACCGCTGTGGAGACGGTGGCCTACCTCACGCCTTACGTCCGCAGGGGCAAGGTAGGCCGCCGTCTGCACGCTGGTGTGTTGCGGGACGGGACGATGGCCTACCTCACAGGCGCTAAACGCCAAGCAAGCGGTGCTCCAGGAGACAGCCGCTGCCAAACTCACACGCTGCAACAATACTTGTGCGGTCACAATGTGGCGGCCAGTAACAGGACCGCCGGGAATCGCTGATCGAATCTCGCACGCGGCGCTGGGGCCGCGCGATGGCAGAGGGATAGGCGAAGGAGACAAGCTCTACGCTAGACGATCAGGGAAGCGGCCTCCCTCCACGTTGTAGCAGATTCGCGTGGATGGTCGCGCCACGCACGGGTGTGGCATGCTCGACACCCGTGACCCCGCCGCGCCCCGCCCCGCCCCGCCCGGCTACGGCTCGGGTGTCGTCGATGCTGATAGCCTCTGGCACCAAGAACGCGAACTCTGAAAGGCACAGCCGACAGAAGAAGAGCACCACCGCTTTTCTGTCGTTGCTTTCTTTTGGCTTTTAAGAAATTCGAATAGCGGCGAAATCTTATCACGGACGCCTCCACCACCAAGGCCGTGACCCCCACCTTCGGTTCACCACTTCATCCGGGGCCTCGGGGATGACAGGGAACTGTCACTTCGGGTGCTTCGGGTCATTCCCGATGACCCCTCGGATCGTTCACGAAGAGCCCCTTCGGGCCATTCCCGAAGAGTCGGGGCTTGGCGGCCTGGCGCGGCCTGGCCGTGGTGGAGGCCGACACTCCGATAGCAATGGGACGGCTCAAGTGTCCGCGCGACGCGGCGCGATGCCCTGCATTCTGCATTTTCCGTTCCTGCGCTGGGACGGGCAGGTCAATACTCCCTGCGCTGGCGCGGCCTTCGACGGTCTCCAGTACGGCACTGTGGGAAAGACTCCAGGCTTCCCGCTGGAAAAGCGTCGTCCTGCCCGAGACAATGCACGCGCCGGTGTGGCCCCGGCCTGTCGGTAGGCGTGCCTGCCTGGGCTGCCCGCGGTGGTCATCGCGGCGAAGGCGGCGGCGGGGCGATATGGCGGCGAGCACGGCGCTCTCCCATTGGATCGGATTGGAGTTTGGACTCTCTATTGTCGCATCCAATCGTCATTAACCTCCGCGCTGCAACTTTTCAAGTTTTCAGCGGCCGTATCTCCCGGGCTGACTTTGAAGAGCGGCCGGCCCGGCAGGCAGCCACCAAGTCCCAGAGTCTCGCATCGTAAAGATTGCTTGATAGCCGGCAGACGACGCGGCGGCCGCGGCGGGCCTTCTGCGGGCCGTTCTGTCTCTCTCGCGCCCCTACGGTGTGCCCTGCGAGTGCGAGGGAGACGGGGAGGTGCTCCACCTATCTGGCCGATTTAGGATTCCTCGCTATCAGACGTGCGAGGCGCGTAATGGGCGGCAAATAGGCGATCGGCATTCCTTGCAAGGAGCTGCCGGCCCGTGCCGCTGCAGGGCCTCGGCGGGGCCGGCGGTCCGCCGTCACCGCGTCACCGCCACGGCGGATGAACCAATTGCGACGCGCCTCCACGCCGCCCCGCCTCGCGGTCCTGTTTTAATCCACAGGGTGACGCTAAAGATGACGTCACGCGGTTAGTTCTGTCTGGTTTTGATCAATGTGACCCCCGAGTACCAGCAGGGCGAGCAGGGCCGCCGCCAAAAGCGGAAAAACGCCAGGGGAAACGTTCCGTTTTGTCGCGTCCCGCCCCTCCTCCCCCGCCGCCTCTCCAGTTCGCCACGCCGCCGCCGCCGACCGATAGCAGACGAAGCTGGGTCAGTGCCGCGCCATGCCGACCAAGCCCTCCGCCTCCTCGGCCAAGGATCGCCAAGGGCACTGTGCTCTGTTTTGCCTGCACGCACCTGGGCAAGGGGACGGCGGGGCCGCCTGTTCCTTCCTGCTGCGTCGTCGCGTTTTCTTCAAAAGCGGCGTCGTCTCCGACCCGCGCCGCTCCCGCCGCTCCGCTCCCATGTTTACAGTTTCTGCCGTGCGGCGCCGGCAGGAAAACCGGGAAACAGGAAAACAGCGAAAACGCGACCGATCCGAAAACTGAAGCGCCGTCGTCGGAGCTTGTCTGCGGTGACGAGAGACGAGATGGCGGTGCTCAGCTCGACGGCGGCTCGGCGCGGCGGAGTCAGGCGCAGCCCGATCCGATGAGGTTTGGAGGGCATCAGCCACTGCCGCAGCTAGCTCCAGCTGGAGCAGCTTGTCTTTGTCTGCGAGACAGAGACGGAGGAACGCGCTCGTCGGTCCAGAGCAAATAAGTATCGGCAGGAAAACTTCCATCGTAGCGAAAGGTGAAAGTGCCGACAGTGTGGCGACCGGCGCGGGGCGGCGGCCCACGGCGGCCTTTATCCTCCAACCATGCGCAGCGCAGCGCCGATAGCGCATAGCGCACGTCTCTTGGTCTCTTCCCGGCCCCGGGTGGATACCCGCCCGGCGGGTAGGCAACCCAACTGTCGCACGAGCTGGGTGGGCTGTGAGCGCACGGCGTCTGCAGGGTGGGCATAGGTAGGCATAGGCATAGAGAGCGGAACAACCACCTTTAGGACTCTAAGTAAGCAGCCTCAACACCATGGTGTTAGCTGGCTGGATGGCACTGGCACGCCTGTTACAAACTGCAAACTAGACGTTTTCCCTGAATCCGCTCAGCCACTTTGGTATTTTCACATACAATTTATTGCAATGACATTTTAGTCTCGGAGTTGCTATTCCATCTGATTCCCGCGGAGCCAAATGAAATTGAGCAAACTGAAATTGTGCACCGCGCACAAAATAAATTTAGAATTTTTCTGCAGAAAACATGACTGTAGAGCCCTATTTATGATCGACAAACCTTGACCCACCCCTCATCCCCCCTATTCAGTCACTTAGAAGACTAGGTTCAGCAAAGATCAAAAGGCCAAAATTTATCACATGAAATTTATTTTACAGACCACATGATTCCTTTTTGAGGTGAGATCATCTGAGCAAACTTCACATAAAAACATTGATATACATGTGATAAATAAACAATAGTAAACTAAATTTGAATATAACTATTTTACAATTATTGTTTATGTTTAGCCAAACTGTCAAGAGAAAAACGATAGCAAAAATGAGATGACATTTACATATATTGTCTCTAAAGACACTGCATTTCTGGTGAAAGTCTTGGACAGCTCTTCATGGAAAATGGAATGATGACTTGGTTGAAAGCAGATCGTTCACATCCACAGCAACCTAAATATGGCAAAAAAAAAAAAAAAAAAAAAAAAACAGTGTGAACATTGTTTGCTTGCTGACAGTATTAAATCGGAATGTCAAGAGAGTAACTTACTGCAAAAGCTGTAAATCGGGCATGCCGGGATCAGCTCCTTTCCTGAATCCTGGAATTAAGAGAACATTTTGAACAATATTACAACCGTACGACAACATTAACACAGCAAAAGATAGGTTAGTGACTTCAACAAATGACATTGAAGCACAGTGTTAACGAAGGTAGACAATACAAATGCAAATTCAATTAAAACCCTATATTTATTGAAAGGAATTCTGATGCAGACTAAGAATTGCTGAGCACATCTAACGTATAACCCCATGCGGCTCGCGAGGGTTGCAGTACTTACCCATGTACAGAACTGTTGGCACAAATCCCCAATGGAAGACAAACTTCGACACGCCGAAAACCATTGCAAGGCGTTCTTTCGTTTCTTGACTCATTTTCACCATCTTGGCTGATTTACGGACAATGTAAGGGGGTTGAATGAATGAAATTGCCCAGTTTTCGCCCTCGACAACGAGCGTGGTTTCCTTCTGCTAGTCCGGCCACACTATCGACAGAACGATTTCCCCAGCCTGCGAATAATTTCTCGACGACTGTCGTCTGTCTGCGTCGTCGTCGTATGTGTGACAGAGACAAAAACATTTAGTGAAAAAAAGAACAGCTGACGCTGCGGACAGAATTTATTGAGGTGTTAAGTTTAGCTTGACTTAAAATTCCGTCGATCTTCCGTTTTATATGATACTTAATAAGCCAGTAAACATCATTTTCGAATTCAATTTTATCGCAATGAAATGACTTTTTAGACCAGTGACTTGTTATTGTTGAGGCTCCTATTGACATCTGACGTTTCCCTTTGTAAATAAACAAACCAACCATTTTTTATGGCTTCTGTACTTGAAAAAACGGTCTACTTTCGGAACTTGAAGCACCGTTTCGCACTCAGTACCCAGGATAAGCGAAGGTACAGTTTAATAACTATCTTCTTCAATCGGGATCAAGGATTTTTCACTTTGGCTGGAGCAGATCTTTGTTCTGGCACGTCAAAAATAACACTGTTTTTACCAGTGTATGGAATTTTTGTATTTTGCAAAAAGTCAAGTAGCATCTTTACTTGCCAGTGAACAGTCGGAAATGGTTCTGTTTTCACTGAAGTTACACTGACCCCCATTCCAGCTTAACCTGTCTGGTGGCTCGCTGTGCTGGCTGTGCTGGTCCCCTGATTGGTGTTCTTTGCACAGGTAACAAGCTTCTGGCGATGAGGAAGGCAACCCGCGCGCAGTGCGCCATGCCAGTGCAGCAGATCAGCGTCAATCCTGTGGAATGGGGCAAGGAAATTCCGCACGGCATGGATGAGGCGCCCGAGTGGAGGGTGAGCTCATTGTGTATTTTGGTCGAGACCACTTGCTGTTTCTACTCGTCTTTCATTTCACCCTGCAATTAAAATCTGTGGACTGCGTTGTAAAATCATTTTATTGTTTTGTCTAGGAGGCAATATTAGCCTTGTCAGGAAATCCAGTTCCACCTGAGCGATGTATGTCTCAAGCCTCAACTCTATCCAACAGTTATGACATTTGCCGGTAAGTAGAAGTAGACATTTTCTGACTTGATTTAAAGTAAAGCCATGTTATTAATGTGTTAATATTTTTATGGATGGATGTTTTCAGGATATGCCATTGTGAGGGTGAAAGGGATGCTCCTTTGATAGCACCATGCTATTGTTCGGGGTCACTACGATATGTTCATCAGGCTTGTTTGCAGCAGTGGATCAAATCTTCAGATATTCGAGCTTGTGAGCTCTGCAAATTTCAATTTGTCATGTACAGCAAAATAAAACCAATAATGCAGGTAAGACTTCTACCTGCTCTGGACTTCCCTCAATCACATTGCTCTGATCACAATACTTATACTGGTTTCTTCTCTTTCACAGTGGGAGCAGTTGGAGTTGTCAGCATTAGAACGGCGTAAACTTCTATGTATGGTTCTATTCCACACTGCAGCATTGTCATGTGTGCTGTGGTCTCTCCATGTGTTGATTGATGGCACTTTGGAAGAAATCAACAAAGGATACTTAGAGTGGTCATTATGGACAAAGTTGATTGGAGTGACAGCAGTTTTTAGCGGAGGAGTAGCATATATTTTCCATCAAGGAAAAGCATACTGTGCACTTTGTCGACGTTGGCGAGCTTTCAACAGGTGAGCTCTACTTCTATTTTATCTTTTCTGTTTCGTACCTAGGGGTTGTTCTTGTGCACTAATTGGTATGAATATTTCAGGGTTATATACGTGCAGAATGCTCCAGAAAAGATAGCTTTAGAAGCTCATCAAAATTCTGCGCTCTCTCAAACACAATGTGTTGAGAGTGCAAACTCCCTCCTAGGATCTGGGGGCTGCTGTGGAGTCGAGACTGAATCTGCTTTAGCAGATAATCGTGATAACCTTCATGAGCGGAGTGCAAGCATAGACCTACACCAAGATCCAGCAACATCCACTAGTCACTCCAGTAAATCTGACGGCTCCATTTGCAAGCAAGACAGTATTCAAGAAAAGAGGATGTGGTTCAGGAGCTCATCTATTTACGGATCTAAAGATAACCTTGGTGCTATTTCAAAGTCTGGTTCACTCAGTAATGATGATATCTCCATCACATCTTATGATGAGCTTTCACACAACTGCCTGAGGCCGAGTGGAAACAGCATACATGAAGATATGGAACCTTTGCCACCACCTGCTGCATTTGTTGATATTGCCACCAACACTGAACTGGTTTATGAAAATGAGAAATTAGATATGAAAACCTCTTGCAAGTCGTCTTCCAGTGCAAGTGGTAGCCCAGTTCTTCCGCCAGACAACTTATCAAAATCCTGCAGCTCTTCCAGAGTTTCTCTCAACAAATTTCCAGAACAAACTCCTGTTCCCAGCCAATCAACTGCCATACCAGCATCATCTGATACTGTGCAGGAAGTGAATGTTGACATAAAGGTGAATAGAGGCCTCATGGTGGGCAGTGGTCTCACTTATGGCCGCCCAACACGAGTTGGATATCCATATTTACTGTCTACATTTCATCCATTGATACCACAAAATCTTGGTGTTGAGAAGGGAAGGCGCTCGGCCTCGAGTTCTAGTAGCAGCAGTGAGGAGTGTGTGGCTTCTCTGATGAGGCAGCAGCATGTTGCTCATGATTCAAACACCCCGAAACTTCAGCAAACACGTCCCTGGACTGTTGGTGGGCCCTATTTTCTGCAGTCAACCAGTTATCAGCAGCCTGACGAAACATGGAGTCACACAACGGATGATGTTCGATCTGAAAGGTCTGGAATAAGACCTTCTACAACAAGCTCTGACTCTTCAAACAGGTTCCAATGTACATCAAGGTCACAGTCACCACTTTTGGCTGCTGCTAAATCCCACCCAAAGCCAAAATGATTTCCCATTGTTTAATATTTGGGGCCAAATGTGCAATCTTACCTATTGTTAAGGCTGTGAGTGAAAATGAGTGCTTCATTATTTGTGAACTACTTTTTAGTCAAGGTTTGGTTTTAAATTAACCTGGTTCATCCCGTTACTTAACTAATGATGTAAGTTATCTGTAATTTTAATGTGTATTTTCAGTCTTTAAATGTCTTCCTCTGATGGTATAATTTGACACGAATTGTGTGAGTTTTTTCAGCTGACTGGATTTGCTAGAAAGCTTATTAAATCCTGTTTCCAGTTTTGGAAATGTTTTTTAAAACAAAATGATGCATGGTTGTTTAACTGGTTAGATTTTGGCATCTGAGATAATATTCCTTAGAACTTAACTTACTCCATGATTTTTGTAATGATACAATATATTAGCTTTACTACCTTTTTTAAGCTTAAAGTATAAAGTGAATTTGATACATATTAGGATACTAAGCTGTTCAGTCCATAGATCAGGTTTCTTTAAGAGATAGTCTCAGGTGCTAGAATGACAATGCCAAATCACTGCGATCAAATCAACATGATTTAAAGCGACCTTTCTTCGTTCACTGCCATTTGCGTCATGTTTCATTCCTCTCTCTCTCCCTGTTTTTGCTCCCCTCCCCAAGTGTGTGGTACATACCTGCTGCACTGGTGTAATATTAATGGTTCTAAACAGTTAAGTCAATTATGCTGTTTTGGGGCTACCTCTATCAACTATGTATGTTTTGCTTTTCTTCCTAATTTTTCTCATGCTGTTTTTGGCATTAGTATTTCATGAACATAGACTGGTCCTGCTTCAATTTTTAAAGGCCTCTCTTTTTTTTTCTCTCTCTCTCTCTCTCTCTCTCTCTTACCTTTGCAGGGCTTTGAATGATATGCTCCTTTTTATTTTTCTCTTGACTTTTGCTACATAGCATACTGTACCAAAATAAGACATGCTCTACTTTGTTTTGTGATATACTGTCTTTAGTCAGTTATACTGTATTTTGTTTCTGGTTCTTTTTGTTGACATTAATTTCCTGCTATGTTCTTTTGTTTTGTCGACTAGTTATTGTTTTATAACTGATGCTCTTTGTTTAGTTTTTTATTTCTGTGCAAGACTGATCTTGTTAAAGCAGGGTACAACCATGAGACCAGGACTAACCCTTGAAACATGTCAACTGGTTTCTCTTTTCCCTTTTTGCTTTATTTATTTCTTCCAAAAAAGATCAAACTTTTAATCTATGGCTTTGTTAATTTATTTGTTCTTAGTTTTAAGATAGCAGATGAAAATGGTTTGTACGTACATCTTGGATCCCACTGTTGCTCAATACCTGGTATGAGGGTACAATGCATATACGCCTGCATCAACGCTCAAACTCATCATGTGTGATCTTCCCTCTGTTACAAACTAGGTCTATAAAAATGAACATGCTGTATTTAACATCAAAATGTGAGTGGATTTTTGAATCTATAATAATGATCTAGGGTTTCTGCAATTTATTTCAATATTACCTGGTGCAGCACTTTAAGGACAATAACTTGAACATTTTATTTGCCAATTAAAGGAAGATACAATCTATCTCACATTTTTAAACAAAAGGTTGGGTTGTGAAACTGATCTAAGCTTGTCAAGCAACAAGAAGCAAAACCAGCAATCTTATCACCATTATGACAGCCTTAAAACTGTAGTACTTTTAATAGTGTGAATAGCTTGTACTTATATACCTCATACCTCAGCATGCAGACCTTGATGAAGTTTACCTTGTGTTCACCAGTGTATATATGATGTTGAGAGTCTGAAAGCATAGAAGTCTCTCAAAGGGATCTGTTTGTTAGACTTCGAGTGTACTTCATGGCAGCAGTTATTGCTTGATAGGTGACATTATTCTCCCCTTATAAACATTGTTTTGTAGCAAAGACTGTTTACTCAAGTAAAGAACTAAAACTTTTATATGACTTGTGTTTGTATGTATTTGAGTGTGTTGGGTGTTGTAGAGATAGCCTTTCAGGCTTTCAGCCTCAGACTCAATGTATTTCTCTCTCTGGAATCAGGAGACTCTAGTACGGTCTCTGATAAGTAGTTATATGTAGCGCTCTTTTCTCTATAATTAATTTCATTCTTATTCATGTACATGTTAGTTCTATAATTGTACATACTTATGTGTAAAAGCAAATTTCTTTTTCAGTAATTGAGTCAATTTTTTATTATGAAAGGAATTTGACTAACTGTTTAATCAAGGTTTCTGTCAATGGTCAGTTACTTTTCATTCTCTTGTTCTGCTAAACTTCTTCCAGTTCACGAGAGGACTCTTCCATTATCCCCATTGGCTCAAAACTTATCTAGTACTTTTTTGACTTAGATGAAAAAATCATTTCAGTTTATTGTTATACATTTTGACGAGCCACAGTATTACAAAGTGCTTTTCAGTTTGCTTCTGATCCTCTGTATTGTTTTTAGGAAAGTCTTGATCAGTCCTTCTGTTTTTGTCAACCCCAGTACTTAATGATTGTTTGACGTTGAAGGTAATTTACTGTATGGTCGTTCCTTACTTTTTGCTTTATTTCTTAATCACCAAAGCTTGTTGTTGTGCGTGAAAGTGTGAATGTTGCAGCGCAGCAATGTGATGTGATATTTATATGTGATTGAAATATGTTTTGCTTAATTAATTTAAAACTGCAAGTGAGAGGGTGAAGGAAATGTTTTGTAGTTTTTTTTTGTTTGTTTTATTTTTTGGTGACTTACGGTTTTAATCCTTTTGACTTATATGTACTAGCTTACCCTAAGCATTTTACCAAATTTAGGTATATACCTTATACAAATATATATTATGGTCACAATATTACTTATGTGTACTTATTGCTGTGGACTTTTTGAATATGAATAAAACTTTGATTGTCTTTGTGCGGCTACATCAATGCCATCCACTGCCTCCTTTCACCTTAAGACTGGCCTCGTGCATGAATGGTAATGGAGACTTGCTGCACGTGCCACGCGCTTCGAAGGCCCGCCTCCGCCATGACAAACCCACTCCTGTCCACGAGAGCCGAGGCTAAATGCTAAATCGGCGAGTCCTGCGGCGTCGACGGCGACCCGGTGGCGGCGGCGACGCCCTCTGGCTCCGTTTGGCGGCGCGGTCGGGACGTGGTCCTGCTGCGACTCTTCCTCGCCCTCCGCGTCCTGGAGCTGGAGCAGCGTCTGGAGCCGCGCCTGGAGCAGGCCGACGCCGACGTGGCCAGCGACACGCAGGACCGCGTCACGGCGGCGGCCTTGGCCTCGGCTCCGTCCTCGGCCGGCAGCACGGCCTTGGCGGCCTCGGCCTGCAGCAGGGCCGCCTCCCCGAAGGACGTCCGCGACGACGAGGCCGTGGCCGGGGCGGCCAGCTCCACCAGCATGGTGGCCGTGCTCGTGGCGGAGGCCGTGGCGGCCACACTCCTCGGCGCTGGGTCGGGCCACTCCCGCTGTACGGGGGCCAGCGGGTCGAAGTCCTCGATGAGGTCCAGCAGGGTGTCGGGGAAGCCCGGGCTGTAGTACCTGCAGACAGCCAAGTCGGAGTCCTGGAGCACTGGAGGCGCCTGCCGTGGAGAGGGTAGGCAGTGCCGCCCGACGCACTAGCCGCCCGATTGCCTACCCTCCAGGCGGCTGGCAGGGGCGTCGGGTAGGCAGTGCCGCCCGACGCAGTAGCCGCCCGATTGCCTACCGTCCCGGCGTACCTGACGATCTCCTTCGGAAAGCAGCAGTTGATGACGGCCACGCTCTCGGCGATGGCCGACCCGGGCTCGGCGGGGATCTCCTGCAGGCGGCGCAGTCCCCCGGTGCAGACGAGCAGGCGGCGGCCGCGGGGGTCGTTGGGCAGGATCTGCTTGGAGTGGACAAGTAGAGATGCAGAGAAGAAGACAACGGCAGGGGTTCAGGAATGCCATATTTATAGACTTGGCACGGCCTGCGCGCAGTCTGCGCGTTGTCTGCGGAGATGGCCTCGACGCCGTCCGCGAATGGGGTGCGGAGGCACGGAGTGGCACGGAGTGGCACGGAGTGGCACGGAGTGCTGCCGGGACATCCGCCCGGAGGTCCAAACTTGAAACGAAAGTCAAAAGCCTCAGCGCCGCGCCCTGTTATTAAGTCTACAAGTTGATCCTCGCCAACAACGCGGAGGGTGGAGGCAAGCCGCTGGACCTGACTCTGGTTCCTCCCTGACGTCGCGACCTTCAGGGGGATGAACCGGAGGGGGAGGGGGAGTTTGAAACACGAAGCGAAGCCACGTAATCCTACATCTCGGGCGGGTGGGGCTGTCTGTCATCGGGCGCCTGTCGGCGGAGGCGGTGGGTGGCAGGGCGGTGGCAGGGCGGAGGCAGGGCGTACCCGCCCCGCCTACCCGCCCCTTACGGCCGGTACTTGGGCCTCCGCCGCCGGGCCGGCCAGAGCGGCTGGCGATGAGTGGTGCCGAGTCGTGCCGAGTGCCGCCGCCTCTGCTCGCTCTGCTTTCGCCATATCAATGAAAAGCGAGCCCGCCATCGAGCCCGCCAAGGCGACCGTCACGATGACGTCATACGCGAAGGACACCCCCTCCCCCTCCCCCCTCGAGAGCCGCGCCTCTCCGCGCTCGTCGAAGGAGAAATGTCACCGGGACGTCGGGAGCCGACAGGCGGATGTGGGATGTAGGAGGTTCACTGCTAGACGAGCGGCCTGCCTCCTGCCTCGGCCGAAGCGAATTGGCGAAGTGGCCCGAAGTGGCGGAGGAGGAGAGATGCAGTGCTGGGGTGGGGGCCGTGCGGCGCGGACTTCGGAAAGCATCACCTGCTGAAATCCGGAGGCGGCCCGGAAGCGAACCCGGAAACCGGAAAGGAACTGTCGCGTATCGCGCGCACTTCCCCCGGCTTCCCCTCGGATGGATTCCGCGGCACGACCTGTCTCCTCCGCGGACGGGCAGCGGGCGGACAGGTGCAGGGGTGGCTTCGTCATGCCCAAGGCGGGGCGGGGCGGGGCGGGGCGGCGACAGGTGAAAAAACGCGGAAGTCTCACGGGGGTGGAATCACAAAAGGGAGCGGGAGGATATTATTTTGCCACCCCGTCCGTGTGCCTGTCCATGTCCGTCCCCGTCGGAGCCCCTCGTCCCCAGGGGGTGGTCGGGCTGCGCTGGGCTGCGCAAACGAGGCCGCCTTTCTTCCCCGCCTTTGTCATTCCGCTTCCGGGGCCACGCGTGGGGGCGCGGGGGCGCTGTGCGGGCCGAACAGGTGGCCGCGTGCGTGGCTGCGTGGCGCCCGGGCCCGCCCTGCGCCTCGTGCGTGCGGTGCCTTGGCGGCTCGACGGGGGCCCCGGGGGCCACCCCGCGGGCGGCTGGCACGGCGACCGCGGGGCCACGGCGGCGCGCTCGCTGATTTGAGTGACTGGGGCTGCGGGCTGATTCCGAAGGGAGCCTCCGTCGCCTCTGTCCCTCTCGCACCTCTACGAGTGCGAGAGAGACACAGCGGCGACCTCGTTGCGACGGTGCCGCCGCGCCACCGGGCCAATCAAGACCTTGTCATCAGGGCTGCCAATTATAACCCTCGTCATCGGAGACGTGTCGCTGCGGGGTGGCGGCGTGTGGCGGCGTGTGGGGGATTACCGCTGAAGAGGGCGCCGCGTGGGGCCAAGCCTTTTCCTCCTCCTTTGCCGAAGCGGCGCGGTGGCCCCCCTGGAGTACTTTATTCCCTCGCTTGTTGTCTTTGTTTTCCCAAGTCACCTTTCCTAGAGCCTTTAGCCTTTGCTGGCGGTGCAGGCGGTGCTTGCGCGGGCGGGCCGCGCGGTGTCCTTACCGCTGGCCGCCTGACGCACGCTCCCGCGTCATGCACTCGTAAAAACGAAAGCCGCTTTTAATTCAACTTGCGAAAAGTTTGTTTCGCTTCTAGCTCGCGTCGTCGCTGTCGTCCCATTGTGTAACAGCGGGTATGAGGTCGGCGTGCGTGCGCGCGGTCGGCGGCCGGCGACGGGGGAGGTTTGGACTACACCGCGGTGCGGGAGGCGGCGTCGGCGGGGCGAGAGCCAATCAACACATTCAACAACCCGGCCGGGGCGGGCCGGCATATTGGAGCGGGTCGCAAACAAGCTACAGTCAACGCGCCGGGGGAGCGGCGGCGGCGCGACCCCCAGCCGGCGTGGCGGCGACCCCCCGAGCACGGCGACGATGAAGGGGATTGGAGGCGTCAGCGCCGCGATCCGCCGCCAACTTTATGTCACCCCCTTCCTGCAGGCTGATTCTGAATTCCGATCAGTGCTTTGGCCTGGCCGTCTTTCGCACCCCTACGATGCGCGAGAGAGACGGCGCAGTTCGGAAGCAGCCGCCCTCAGGGAACTGGCACCGGTACGCCTCGGGGACCGGATCGGGAAACATCGACTCGTCCAACTAGATTCAGCAGACTCCGGTGGGATGGCGGTGACGTCAACCCTGGTCCCCGTTGTCCAGCAGCCCCCGGGCGCCAAGGGGTTGCTGTGATAGCCACGAGAGGCCTTGGAGAGAGGGGGGGGATTTCCGGTCGGTTCTCTTCCTTCAATGCTAGAGTGCTTAGGTCAGGCAAGAAGTCGTCACAAATAGCAAAGACCGGCATGAAATTCGTCTCGTCTTTCTGAATAAGGTTTTCTATAAATGGTCTGACATTCGAGCGGTGGCGGGAGAGAGGGGGGCGCGCCGCGGCCTGCGAGTGGATGATGTGTCAAGCACGCCGAGTTCGCGAGTTCGCTCCGCCGCCCGCGTTCGTCCCCGTCAGGATGGCTCGCATTCGTCGAGACCGTTGCCCTTGGCTCCGCAGGGCTGATTCCGAACCGAGTGTGAGAGAGACAGCGCGACAGAAGCGATGCTCAGCCCGCAGGCTCAGCCAATGACGCGGAAGAAAGCCGCCATCTCTCGACGAGGGACAGGGACGCTCTCCAGAGGGCGGCTCCTTACTTTGATTCACCGACCGCGCGTCGCGCCACCGTTTCTTCGCAGTGTCGGGGGGGAAGGGTTCGGCTCGCGTCGCGACGACGCGGTGCGGTTCCCGCGTCGCCTCGTTGCCGCGGCCCCGAAATGGCCGAGACAAAACAGTTCGGAGAAGCGCGGCAGGCGGCGGCAGGCGAGGCGAGGCGGCGAGGCCCATCCGCGGGCCCAGCCTCCAGCCCGCGTCGTCGCTGTCGCTGTCAGCGGCAGGCCCGCGTGGCGCTTTGGGCCGCGTGCGCCGCGTGCCTCCACTGCCACTTTGGGCGCCCCTCGCCCCTGGCCGAGCCGTTCTGGGGCACGCCGTCGTCGCCGACCCGGCCGGCCGCCCGCCCGGCACAGAGGATTTACTCCGAGCGACAAATACAGCGCATTGTTGTGTCCGTCGGCCGCCCCAACGTGACGGACGTCCTCCTAAACGTGCCTCTCGTGGACAATGCAGTGCACAGAGGCCGGGCCTTACAGTGCAGGGCCACGTGGGAGTTATAGTTACGCCGCTATTTTCTGGTCCTCATCGCCATTCAGCGCCCAGCCTCATGGCGCGGCCCGCCGCGGTGCCGCAGCCCCGAACGCTGCATCTCTCTCGCACGCACGGGGCACGGGGGCGGCCCCGACGGGGTGCGAGAGAGACAGTTCTGAATCGCTCTGGGGCCCGTGAAAGTAGCAGATCCGGCGCAGAGTGGTCGGCGGGGCGTCGTGCGTGGAATGCAGCGTGCGTCGCGGGGGGCATTGCCGGGGCATTGCCGGGGCACAGCCGGGCCATTGCGATTCCGCGCGCGGGCTCCGGGCCAGCACGTGCAGAAGGCCGCCGTCGTGGACCCCGCGAACCCCGCCAACGGGGGCCATTCGCTTTTCGGAAGGATAAGGATAACGACGGCGAACAGACTTCATAATCACCCTGTCTCTCTCGCACGCCTGTGGTGCACGCCACGAGTGCGAGAGAGACAGCAACGAAACGCTGCTCGGACGCTCGACAGACTGCGTTCGTGTGTGTGCAGAGACTGGCAGGGGCGCGCTGAACGCCGAAGCACGCCGAGGCGCAAAACATGACAGAGACAGACTGCCCTGACCTACACCACCACCACGCCTCACCTCTCCTCTCTCTCTCTTTCTCTCTCCTGCCTTCGGCCGTCAGGGCGTCAAGCGCAGTCAGTCAAAATATCTGGGTTACAGTGCCGCGGCGGCGCGGCCCGCCGGCCGAGGGAGGCCTCGGGAAAACTCTGCCCGTGCGCATCCTCGCCCCGCCAAGGACGCCCTCCTCGGCTGCTATTTTAAAGGCGCCACCCGATCGAAAAGTGGAGCACAGCAGCGCGCTTATGGCCAAAACTGTCGGGTGGGGAAGGGGAAGGGAAGTAGCGACAAAAGTGCCCCACCCCCCACCCCACCCAGGACTTGCCGACGACCGTATGGTTTGTGTGTTGGAGGGATCGTGCGGGCCGAACATACAATTACCGTCTAGCTGTTTCCCTGATCGACTAGCTTACGTTCGGCTCCCCTCCCCCTCCCCTCCCACCACACTGCGGCACTCGGACCCCTCTCTGCCTCACCCGCTCGCTCTGTCTCTCTCGCACCCTTACGGGACGTGCCGGGAGTGCGAGAGAGACAGAGCGGTCAGCCTGCGATGGCCTAGCGAGTCACCCCGCGGTAATTATCCCGTCGTCTGTCGCAGGACGCACCGCGCCGAGGGTCGTTCGCGTGACGAGGACGCCGCCGGCCTGCCAGCGCCGCCAGGGACATGGTGGACGTCGGGGACCTCCCCTGGGGAACGAACGACCCGCCGCACAGGTGTGCCTCGCAGCGGGCGATGTTGCCTACCTGGCCCGGCGCTCTCCTCCGAACTGAGCTTTCCGGCGCCGGCCGCGGATTGCGGATCGGAATGTTTGGCAAGCTGGCGGCCTCTGCTGCCAGGG